GTTATCTGAGAAATTATTTCTGAGTTCATTTTTTCCAGATCCCCTTTTGTTGCCAGTTCAGTGGGTCCAGGTGTTTGAGTATCAGAGTGTTCCATCTCATTTCCCTTTGGGCTTGTTGTAGGTGATCTGGAAGTCTGGTTTTGAGACTTATTTACAAGTTTTCTTATTTCAACTGGGGCCGAGTGCTGTTAGCGCCTGCCGGGATTACCTCCTCTGAACTGGGAGAGGTGGGACAGGGGCCTTGAGCAGTGTTAGGGATGGTGACCCAAAAGCCCTTTCCTGTGGACTGGGAGCAGTGGGAGGGATGGTTACCAGGAAGCCTCTTCCTCAGATTCAGGAGCAATGGGAAGGTGGCTCAGAAGTCCCTACCTCTGGGAAGGGAGCAGCAGGACTCAGTACCTTGGTCTAGTGGTCTGGTTTCCCTGCATCTTTGTAGTGTGGAACCAGGTGGCTGGCTGTCTGCAGAGGGGTGATTCGGCATATTCTGGGCAACTGAGGACCTAGGTAGGGCGTGGGCAGACCTGCCTGTCTGCAGCGGGCTGATTTGGTGTCTTCTGGGTGACTCAGGACCTCGGTAGGGCATGCACAGACCTGCCTTTCTGCAGCGGGCTGATTCGACGTGTTCTGTGTGACTCAGAACCTTGGTAGGGCATGCCCACTACTTTATTTTTTAATGAAAGTGTGTCAAACCCATTCTTTTGTATTTATAATTTAGATTTTTTCATTTCTGCTTTTCTCATTCAATAATTGCTTTTGATATTAATTATGCTAATCAAAATGGATTGTTGAATATTTATTTTCACTTAAATTTATCATAAATTTGCCTAACAATAACAATTCTTTGTTAGTTAATTGAACATTTTAGTCTTTTAATATTGGAATTACATTTACTTTTATTTACACCATTTGTCCTTTAATGTGCAGAGTTAACTGAAGCCAATAAAATTGAATTTTAATAAGTGGATAAGTACACTATAAATGTCTAACACCAGAAAAATAACATCGAAAGACACCTTAATATTCGTAGCTAATTTTTAAAATAAATTTAAATATTTTTCAGTCTTATAGTTCCTTACACTAAAATATAAATAAGTAATTTTTTCTTCTTTAGATATTTAAAAATAAACTACAGATCATCTTGAACAAATCTTGTAAGTTTGCTTACTTGAATATGCTGACTACATCCCTGTCCGTGTCTTTGTAGGGGGACATCCAGCAGTTTTTGATCACCGGTGACCCCAAGGCGGCATATGACTACTGTGAGCATTATAGTCTCGACTGTGACTCTTCAGCATCAAAGGCTGCTCAGGCTCAGGAACCTCAGATAGATGAGGTGAGGGACATAAGATCAGGGCAGATCCTCTCATTTCGCTGGTATGGAAATAGCCTGCAGTTTGGGAACTTACACGTATTTATTCACTTTTAATTAAACTATACTTTTTATTTAATAGTCTTTAAATATTTCTAAGAAAAGGTGATTCAGAGATACTTGGTAATTTTTTTCTTTTTGTTTAAGCACTTTGTTGATTAATTTTATTATGAATAGAGATATATCTCACTTGTGTTCTGTGTACTGGAGCATTTATTTTAGAGGAGGGAGTAATTTGCAGCAGCTGTATTTCTGCCCTTCCTATGTAAATAATGCACATGGCCTCAATATAAAGGTCAGAGTTTCTGATGTATTTGCTATCCCCCAGGCCTTTGGCAGTACATGAAGATGAGAAAATGATGTGACAATTGCTCTAAAGTTTCATGTTATGTTGAGTAATAGAGTGATTTCTTTCCTATTTCTAATAGAGAAGTTAAAAAACAAACAGGAAAGGATTTATGGTTTAATTGGAAGCACGACTATATTTTTAGATTTTTTTTTCTCAAGACTGAGTTTTACATTTCAGATGGGGTAGAAGGCTGAGAACAACAAAATTGCTCTAAATCACATAGTGTTTTCTTCCCTTTTAATTACAGCGGTAGGTATTACCATCTGAGTTTAACTCTTTAGAATGGGTTCAGATCTTATTTTTGATTTATCATTGTTCCTCATGTGAATTCAGGTTTGATTTTGTATGTTAAATGCTTAAAATACATTTTTGACACTACCTTATAAAAGTATGATAGTGAACTCTGTTGAACAAATCTTTTCCCTAACTTGAGATTAGTGGTTTTTTTTTCTTACAACAGGATAAAGTCTTAAGAAGCCAACAGGAAGAGAAATATGAAAAACCAAATAAAAATTACTTGGATATTTTGTTTGCCTGTTTCATAATTCTCAAGCATCTTGTTGTTTTTATTTCATCACAATTCACTAAATATGTTTTCTGTGAATTCCAAGGTGATAGTGCAACATCCTTTAAGTTTAGGTTTTCATATCTGATAAGTTATGTGATTACATAATATTAAAATTTATAATGTAATAATTTAATATTTTATTAAATAATACAAATAATATTGATATAATATATCCAAAATAATATGCAATATAATATTTTAATACATAAATATTTTGATATTTTAAATAAATAATATCATAATGTTTTCTGAAGAACAATTAGGCTTATTTATTTTACCAACAGATATGATTTGACTTTTGGAAAAAGAAAGGTTTGCTTTTTAATATATCATTTTTAGGGGTTTTGTTTTCATATTTTGTTATTGTGTCAGGTAAGCTAGATTATTTTAAATTAGGAAAATTTTTATTCATCTTTTCAAATTCATTTACCAGTAAATTTATCTTTTTCTGTTTTAGTTGTTGAAATGTATATTTAACATGCTGCGGAGATGGCAAATTTGCTTTAACAAGAATCATTTGATGTGAAAAATAATACATTGCTATAATAAAAAAGTAAGAAAAATTGTATAATGCAGTAATAAGTAGGATTTGTTACTAGTTTCTACATTTATTATCACAATAAGAATTTTTATTAATTTATTTGAAAAATTAACTCTACTGTTTTCACTTACCACATTAGACTGATACTTTAATAATAAGATGAAGAGTTGATATTTGTATTAAAAAAAAGTCAAATTAGTAAGCAGTCCTAATTTTGAGCTGTAGCTATTAATATCTCATTAGATTGCAAATAAGCATTTTAAAAATTGATCTTCTGATATTGATGTAACAAAATAGTAATACATAATACAGTGTTACTTGACAGTGGATTAAGAACATAAAGTGAAATATGGAGGATTTATCATACACAATATATTTTCTCTTAATAAATCTCATTGCCTATTTATTATTCTAATTTGGATTAGCATGTCAATCTATTTTGTAAAAATTGTAGCATGCTTTTTCTAGCTGGTAATTTTGTTCAGTTAGTATCCCTAAAACACGTACTCTAATCGATTCTTAATTTCAATTGGCTGTGTGCTTAGCACAACATTGTATTGTCATCACAGAGTGAGAGACATATAATATGGACAGATTCGAATGTGGTGATAACTTATCAGATTTTTAAGCATATTTAAATGACCAGGTTGACATTTAAATAGAAATATGAATAAAATTAAAATTATCATGGTTTTGAAATATTCTTATTAGGCTAAATTGTCTTTCTACCTTATAAGAAAACAACAAATTGACATATAATTCCTTCTTAATATATTAAACATTTTATTCAAAAAGCAATTGATATTCTTTCCTCTAAAGGAGGAAAAAATAAGGTGAAATAAAAGCAAGACTATTTTTTATAAAATAATTTAAAAATAATTGACTTGGCTGAGTGTGGTGGCAAACTCCCATCACTTAGGAGGCTGAGACAGGTGTATCACTGTTAGTTTGAGGCCAGCCTGAATTACATAGTGAAACCCTGTCTCAAAAAAAGAAGACAATAAATAAATAAATAAATAAATAACTTCTGAAAGTGTATTACTTTGATCATTTTTTGACTAAATATTTATCATATATGTTAGTTCTCATATATGTACAGGATTTTAGTATGGCTACTATTGTCTTATAAAGTAAGGAAAGACTTTATGACATTTCCTGAAGAATATCCTTTCTCATCAAATAGTCTAATTTCTGTCAAAATACTCCCAGATAAGTTCAAATTATCCTATCACTAAATACCCTCTTGCACATATTCATCTGTTTGATTACAAGTAGTTCTTTCTTCTCTACTTACCTTTGAGTAAAATTCTATTGTGAGATGAGAGGATCATCAACAGCGCAGATAAAGAAATAACAATAGAGGCAGCGATACGTTTTATTTACTCCTGTGTAAACTCTAAAAGAAGAACACAGTTTAGTGCCTTAGGAAGTGAATATGGTATTTTCTCTCCTTTTTTTTTGATGCAATCATTCTGGTAGCTCTTCAATTGGAAAGAGTTCAAATAGAAGAGAGTTGTGGACCTGGAAGAAGTTTCCATCTACAAAAGAAAAATATGACATAAAGAATAACATTTTTGAATGCTTCCAACATATAGTCATTGAATCTGAAACTATTACTAGAAGGCTAAAATTATGAATGTTTATTAATTTTGTCAGATTGGAGTTTTGACCATCATAAAGAACACTAAAGAAATGCCTATTTAACTGACAATATAATTTCTATCAGAACCGTCTAGAAATGTTCTCATTCGTGAGGATATTTCACTAAAGGTCGGATGTACAAAGTAGCCATGTGGTTAGGTTGGACATGTCTAATTATGTGACATTTTTATATATTTTCATTGCAGTTCCTAATAGAATTTATTAAATTGCACTGTGATGATAAGTTTCTAAAAGATTTGTAGTCAATAGTATTTTTTTTTTTTGGTACTGGGGATTGAACTCAGGACCTTGCACTTGTGAGGCAGGTGTGGCACCACTGAGCTAAATCCCTGACCCTTGTCAACAATATTTTTGCTGGAAGATTAGAAAGGATTGTTTGAAATGCCAAGAGAGGTGTAAATACAATACTTTGGAAATCATATATAGCTTGCTTTTATCATATGTATGTATATATATCATATATATACGACATATATACATCTTATTTGCTTTTACTGTATATATACTATATATTATGTATATAAATTCAGTGAGCTAAAACTATATAGTATATATATACTATATAGTTATATATAACTATATATAAGTATGTATAGTTTTACCTTATTGAATTTACTGCTTATTTTTATGCTTTATATAACTTGTGTATTTACAGTTATTTTGATTACTAGGATGGTGACTAGGTTTTAGAATATCTATATTCTTGATCAAAATTTTCATAAAGGTATTTAATTTTGGAAGTGAATTCATTGCTTTCTCATTTATGCATATGTCTGTCTCTCATCTCCCCTTATAAAGAAACATACTTCTCCCAATTGAATTCTTTAATATCGAAGAATCTAGAATAAAATACTATTGTCAGTTGTGAATACAATTTAAGAAGTTTAAAATGCCTCAGTGGTATGTTCTATTTTCAACAGAGAAAAAAGTAATATAAATATTGACATAATGTATTAATTATAAAGATGTCTAAATTCAAAAATTTTAGTGCTTTGAAACTATTTTGTTTTCATTCTTACATAAGTCTATAGGGAATTAGAGATTTCAAAATAAATTTTAGGTCTTATTTTTACTTTGGTTACCCTTCTGAATGTAATATAGGCTTATTTCATGTTTCTTGTACTCCATTTTTCTCTTCTCCCCTCTCCCGTCTCACAATAGACATGAAAGTCCTTTCGTACTTGGGAAAACTACTCTTCATATTTTTATTTCTAAACATGTTGCTTTATAAAAAGGTACCTGTTGAAATTACTGTAAATTTTTAATAGAAACTTGCATAGCAATTTTTACGAATCAAAATTAACATGAACATTTAACAGCTACATCTAAGAACATAAGTGCTTTGTTTGAATTAATGTTCAATAATTAAAAGTTTGAATCGTTATTCAAAACTTTTATTTTTCTCACACTCTAATCACTGTTCTGCTTTTAGAAATCCTGCTTTGTCATTCCCATGTAATTATATTTTGTACAAGACAGCATAATATTTCTATGTAGTACAAAATAACAAATAACACTAGTTCTCTTGAGTCTTAACATTTACTCTGAGTAAAAGTTAAGATGATTCCCACTCTGTTAGCAATATTACTTGCAACTAACAAAATTGCCTGATATTTTTTCCTTTGCAATGTAGTATGCACCTGAGGATATAATCGAATATGATTATGAGTATGGGGAAACAGACTATAAAGAGGCTGAAAGTGTGACAGAGAGACCCACTGTAACTGAGGAGACAATAGCCCAAACAGAGGTAAAAACAAAGTAGTGTCTTTGTATGTGGTGTTCTGCTCTTGGTCATCCTGTGGTTCCTTATGTTCGCTGTTCCTCAAACTTATCAAGAACCTTTCGCTCATCTATTTGTCTGTGAGTTAATGACTCATTTTTATTTGACAGCAGCTGTCCTGAAGAAATGCTACCCATTTTGCTTTTGTGTATCTTTCCTATCATCCATGCTTTTTAGTTCCTCTCAGCTTTATTTACGTTTTCCATTCCATCTTTCATCATGTTTTATAGAAAAAGAAATCCAATTTCAAAAAGAAGATGAAGACAGTGGCCACTAACTCAAAGGAAAAATCCAAAAAGTTTACACCCCCCATATCTGAAAAATTTGCATCTAAGAAGAATAAAAGTAATCAAGCAAGAGCAAAAGCCAAACTAGGGGTAAAGGTAGCAAAGAAAAACAATCAAGATCTATCCTAGATAAGCTGGAAGATCTCTGATGATGAGTCATAGTCTTAACCCAACTAGATAAATACCATTTGGCTAATACTATAACCCAATTCAATCATGAGTTTTTTCACATATTTGGTATTATTTTACTTGTTTACTAATTATTTTTCTTCTGAATTTATCATTAGGCAAATATTGTTGATGATTTTCAAGAATATAACTATGGAACAATGGAAAGTTATCAGACAGAAGCTCCTCACCGTGTATCTGGATCAAATGAGGTAACACATAGAGGCAACATTAAATCACAGTCAAGCTCTTTACAATATGTAATATATCTTGATATTATTTATTCTAGAAGAATTCATAATCTTTGAAATAATTGAAGTTTTTATTTTATTAACGTAAGAAATAGAATAGCATTGGTTCACTATTACTAAAAATATTCAAACATATTGAAGTCAATGTCAATTCAGGTTTTGCATGAGCCTTTGCTTCATGCAAATGTTAAATTAGTTACACTGAATTGGCTACTATCATTTTCTTGATTGGTTCTGAAAATTAGCAACCTTTACAACATGTTGTGACAAAGGGTGTCACAACATGATTCTTCTATGAGAAGAATCCGCTGAAGTGGAAATTGTATCATCAGCTGATACAATTAGAATTTTATTCAATCTGATCAGTAATCATGCATTTTAATAACATGTATCTGCAGAGATAAGTCTAAGTGGATTTTATTAGATATTTATTTTTAAACATGTTAAGAATATAATGTTAATTATGATTAAAATAACACATCTTAACCATTCCACTATGTTCTGTGAAAATCTTTGCATTCAGGTAGATTAAAATTAGTTTTCTAAAATTTCATATTGCATAAGCATTTTTATCATAAAAAATCAGTATGCAATTCATTTTTTAGCTTTGTTAAATATCTGGCATAGATTCCTTGGCATTTTTCAGAATATAAGGAATTTGTGAGTTAGTTATTTGAAATCTATATAAAGTGTGTCCCAATCTGAAAAATAAAACCACTAATACTTTACCCACAGACATAATTTAAAATAATAAACACTTGGGGTATGAGTGAATATTGTTTCATATAGTCTTAATCATTTTCCAAGAGGATATCTTAACTCAAGATGTCAATCTGTACAAATTCATGCAGCTTTTTAAGCTTAGGGGCATGAATATTTAATACTTTGTTCTGGGATAATATTCAACCTTTTTACCAAACATAGACTTTTTATCTAAGAGTAAAAGGGATCCTTTTGATTAGATATTTTATTTTAGTAAGAACTGCTAATTTAATCACTTAACTACATATTTTCATTCAATGTCTCTGAAAAAGAACCATTGATTTAAATTTTACTTGTAATATTTTCTATTTTTTATTAAAATTAATATTATTTAATTGCTTAATTTTGAGGACTATAACATGTTTTATTTATTTAAAGAAATCTAGTATAATGACTTTTCTATGTACACAATGTTCTATATAATCTTTGTAATGATATGTTAATTTGTTTTGACATTAATATTGCACTCATGAGATTGAATATCAAATTTATGTGACTATCCTTATAGTAATTACATTTCATAATGTTGTTCTGTGATGTCAAACAATTCTTTATGCATATTTTATTGCTCAAATTTTAAATAAAGTAAATACCAAATTGACTAACAGGTTGTTTTAATGAAAGCAAATACACATGTTGACACCATGTGAGTATTTGCAGTTTATTGGGGAAAAATAGTTTGAAAGCAATATTTCTTTGTACATATGAATGTACAAATGTATTTCTTTCAGTGATACTAAAAAGCAACCCTTTCCGGCCTTCATTCTTACTTGAGTAGTAATAAAAGTCTTTTCATCCATGCCATCAAGCTACAATTACAAATGCTTACCTTGCTTTACTAACATAAACTTCATGTTCTCCAATTCTCTGCAACTTACATTAATAGCCAAATCCAGCTGAAGATGTTTTTACTGAAGAATATATAACTGGAGAGGATTATGCCCAGAGGAAAAATTCCGAGGATACTCTATATGAAAATAGAGACATAGACAGCAGGGACCCTGATCTTCTGGTAGATGGAGATTTAGGCGAATATGATTTTTATGAATATAAAGACTATGAAGATAAACCAACAAGTCCCCCTAATGAAGAATTTGGTCCAGGTGTACCAGCAGAAACTGATTTCACAGAAACAAGCGTAAGTCAGCATTACGCTCTGGATCGTTGTGTGTGCTATTTTCATAATCATTTTGATATCTTTTCAGGTTTAAAATACAGGTTGAATTCTTATATCGGTTATAAGTATTTACCACTCCTAGGCCACTTTGATAGATTCTTCTTAACAGGTACCTTCAGCTATTCAATCTCAGGTGACTCTCCTTGAGTCTTCATTTGAAAGTATGCTCTTGAATAAAATTATACCTCAAATTTCTTATCATTGATAAGATTAAAATAGTCAAAATTATTCTGATTTGGAAGTCTAATTTTTGATTTTAGACTATTAAATTTAATATGATATATCTTAATGTCTTACAATAATATCTGAAGCTAAAAACGTGTTTTTATAGCGTGTTTTAAAGCAGCAATTTATTCCTCTCTTTTTCAGATTCAGTATGAATGTTCATTTGCAGTATTGAAACCTTTCATAAGGTTCTATTTTTAAAAGAATATATTTTAATAGTTTGTTTTAAATTCATATAAATGATTGAATACCTTTTATAACAAAAAGTTGCATGTTTTTACTTACTTTGAAGACATTTTGATTCTTTTTAATTTTTCACTGCACAGATAAATGGCCATGGTGTATACGGAGAAAAAGGACAGAAAGGAGAACCAGCAGTGGTCGAACCTGTAAGTACTGATGTAAACACATTAACATTTAGTGTATTTAATTTACATCATGAACCATTATCATCTTAAATTTTTATGTATTTTTATGTAACAGCTTAGAGAATCCTGATATTCTAATGTTTATAATTTGCTACAGATGAATACATCAGTAATGTTCTTCCTGGAAGCTGCAACGTCAATAAACCACAAAATTATAGAGAAAGAATTTTGGAATTTGAACATGACTGAAATTTGTCTAGTCTAATTCTCTCATTATGAAACCTGAGATCCAATGCGTTTAAGTAATTTTTTGCAGTTTTGAATATTTGATGTTGGAGACATAACATTACTTTAGGTCTTCTAATTTTCAATTTTAGGACCTTCTATTCTTACTTCTATGATACTATTATTGGAAATATATTAATTTACATATATTAATTTGTAATTTACATTGTTTCTGTTCCAAACTATATCACTCAGAAATATGAATATTCTTTCTAAAACACTTCATTTTCTTCTATGTTCAAATAAAGCTCTGAAGTAAATTTAAAAATTTTTAATTAATGTTATTACAAGTAATATTGTTAAGAAACACTTTTTACTAGGATACAAGTTTACAATTGTTTCCCTGAAGCAGGAATTTGGGGAAATGAATCTAGTAAAACTAGAGATACTGTGTTTAACTGTCCTTGAGAGCCATGAAAATTCTTTCAGAAACTCAAAGGATATGAAAATTAAAAAGAAAAAAAAAAGGGAAATTAAAAAGAGATAAAGATTTAAAGGACACAGCTTTAAGGATCTTAATGCCTTTGGCTCCGTTACTGCAAAATCTGAGAAAACAAATTGCAACAGAGCCATGAAAGGTTTTTTTTTAAATGAATTTGTCCTTGTTTTAAAAACATACCAGCAAATTTTTAAGTGACATTGAAGTGTTCGGCAGTCCAAAACTATAGTTGACTCATAAACGTTTTGGAACTGAGTTCCCATCCTGAACTATTCTCACTTATTCTCTATCTTATCTCAGATTTTGTCCTTTCTATCCTTTTTTTCTGAATTAAACTGTTGAGGCATCACTTATTTCCATTCATCCATTCACATGGAATATATTTATAAGTACCTGCATCTTGCTAGGCATTACTGCGAGTGCTAGGAAAAAATTGGCCAAATATGTTCTGTGTACCTTTCTTTTGAGCACTTAGCTTTATAATGTTGTTTGTCTGAATATTTATCTTCTCTTCAATTAGTTCCTAGATTCTCTGAGGGCAGGAACTGTTTTTTTCATAATTTTGAATTTCTTCCTTTTCCCATCAAAAATGTTTGTGATTGGTTTAATATAATAAAATTAAAAATTAACTTTTTAAAATGCAACGATGTAATATTCTCTTGGAGTTTCTTATTGAGGTGTTTGAAGGTTACATTTTCCTGATAAAGATCATTTCATTTTTGTTATAGGGTATGCTTGTTGAAGGACCACCAGGGCCAGCAGGACCTGTGGTATGCAAATTATTTGTTATTATTTTGGTTTTGATTTTTAAATTATTAAAATTCAGATTTTTATTTCCTTGGATTTATACATTTGAGACTTATTTGAATGTTGATTCCAAATACAAATATTTGTTGAGAGGAGCTAGTGGACTTGAATTGCCTTCTGATATGGCTCTTCAGTAATATTTTGTTGAGTATTCAGATTAAATTTTGAATGCTGTTTAGTCAAATATTTCTGCATTTTCTGACCAATTTTTGCCTTTCTGTCTGAAAATTTTTGAAGTAAAAAAAGGCTTTCTTTTTTTTCTTGGAGAGTTATAATTATATCTCAGGTAATTGAGCATCCTAGTTAGACCTTAGTAGCGTTATCTGTACTGATACTCAGCATAATTATCAAATTATCAGATGTCATTGTTATTTCCTGACATGGCTGATGTCATTCAGTGTGCTATTATTTTCAATTTGTTGAAATGATTAGACCTTGTAAGCAACCTTCTATTTTTGTGTGGAATTCATTAAATTCTTGTCATCTGAAAATAATTATATGATACTTATACTTTCAAATACTTACAAAAGAAAATAAAGATGTTTTGAGGCTAAATGATTTCTATGTTTTCAACTTTTCTATCATCACATTTTTGGAGTCTGATCTTAGGAGTGTACCATTTCTTTAGGAAGAACTGGGACCCAGCTTCTCCCTCGGGGACTTGACATTGGCACGCTCTCCTTTCCTGTTGTTCCTTGGGATGTTGACCTCCGCGTGAGAGCAGCTCATAGAGGAACAGTTGTACTAGCTTTAAAGTAGTTTCCATATGTTGTCTTTTCATAGGAACCTACATCGCACAATTGCTTGGGAGACAAGTATATATTTGTGAAACATAAATGAGCTTTCTTTGATTTTAGAAAAATGAACATTAATTGCCTGAACACTAATAAGATGAAAAATTTGACTCAGATCATGGTTTGTTTCTCTGTAGGGTCTCATGGGTCCTCCAGGTCTACAAGGACCCTCTGGACCCCCTGGTGACCCTGGTGATAGGGTAAGTGAAGCGGCATATCATTATAAAAGCGTGCAACATGGATTAAAGTAATTCAAATTTATTCTACAATTTTAGCAAGTTATCATTTATGTGGGTGAACAGTGGGGTGAGAATTCTATAAATTGATCATGTGCAACATTTAACTTTTATACCACAATTTAAAAGTGAGGCTAAAGAATGTTTAGCTATTATAATTAGTAAGTCAATTTTATTTTCAACTTCAGTATCTCGACGAACCTATTACATTAGATTCAATTCTTCAAAGTTGTATTCCAGAGATATTATCTAGACATTCCCATAGGTATTTAGTTGAATAATGTTAGAATAAGTTAATGAACCTGCATTCTACTGTGAAGATGAAATTCTGGGTTACATGATGCAATAGATCATTTGTGTAAAGTCTCTCTAAACTGTCTTTGTAAAATGTCTGTCCATTTTTTTCCCTCATCCTTAAGTAGTCAATGAAAGTATTTTTCCCTTTTAAAAATAGTGAATCAGAGGTCCGGGGATGTAGCTCAGTGGCACCGCACCTGCCCTGAAAATGCATGGTCCTGAGTTCAATCCCTGGTACCAAAAAAGAAAAAGTGTATCAGAGATTACATTTAATTTCACTTTTTATATTTTTCCATTTAAATAAGGCCTGATATTTTATTTTAGATTTAAGCTGTGAAGATTTAAAAATGTTACAGAAATTCTGGTTTTGCAAGAGTTATTTAAATTTTGAGGATTTAAGTGGCATAGTAGACAATTGTTCATTTTGTTATGTAGTTTGCCTAGTCTTTTATATCTAGTTTGATAAAGGTATTTATATTTTTATCAGTCATTTTAGTTAATTGTTTTTATTTTAAAATTCTAACCTTTTTTCAAAATACCATTTTAGATTGTATAATTTATTGATCATAAAACCATATTTCTTGTTATAAATTAATATCTACATTGTACTCCAAAAATATAGACATATATAATCTAACACATTTAGAAATGATTTTATTAAAATTATTCTTATCATAATAACTTGTTAGAATTTAGAATAATGATTTCTTTAAAGAAGCTGTTATTTAAACTTTGAAAGTTTTTTAAAGTTTGTAGAGAACCCATTGAAATAAAATAATTTAAAATAAAGTATAATCTTGGAATTCTATACTCAATGTAACTGTTCAGAGAGTTAAGTTTTTAGAAGAAATTAACATTTGGAAATTATTGCTGCATATTTTTATAATTAGGTACATTATTTGATTTATATCCCTTACATATAGTTATTGATTAACTAGTATTTATTACCTTCTCTGCTAAGTATGATTTAGCTGGGTAGAATTAAGTCTGCTTTTATTGAAAGTTTTTGGCATATACCTTGCATCTAAGGTTCACTTTCTTGTACATAGATGCACATATATTTAATATTTTCTATAATCACCTGTATATCTTGTCCTAGCAGAATTCCTAGTCACATGTAAACCTCTTTTATATTTTTTTCACTGTCTTTTTAAAGTTAGCATATGTTTGTGATACATAGTGAATATATTCATCCTGGATAATTAGTAATATGCATATTAGATCTTAAACTTGTAAATGTGCCCACATATATGTATGTATGTTTTTATATCAATTAGAATTCAAAATAAATTAGTGATTATGACTAAATTTAACCTGTTAATTTAACATGTTGAGATTAGTAATTATCCACGTTAAAAAGTATCTATTTTGATGATATTTAAAGTACCTAGGACATACACTTAAAATAGCATCTATTTAATAAATTAATTAAATACTTTAAGTATCTAATAGAGAATACATAAATAAATCTTAAATTCATTAATTTAATTTTAAACAGATCTCTTACCATTTACTCAAATCTTGTTTTTTCTTGTATAAAGCAAACTCTGTTCACTTGTATTCCTCACACTGTTTCACATCTGAACATACAGGAACTCTTCATGATATGCAATTCATGGCTGTAATTAAACTAAGTGGAATTCACATCTTAATTTGATTATACACTAATAAGCAAACTATTAAAATCCTCCAAAACTAGTGCACAGAATTTCAGCCCTTTCTAGGTATATTTAGGTATACTTTATAGATATACTTAGCAAAAAGAGATTGACCAATCTGGAGAGTGAAATAGAAAATTAGTTAATATAGATTTATGTTACTGTACACTATCCTACTTCCAATAAATTTTATTATTTATTGATTTTGATTATTTCATTTATTTTCGTAGGGCCCTCCAGGACGTCCTGGTTTACCAGGGGCTGATGGTCTACCTGGCCCTCCTGGTACCATGTTAATGTTACCAGTAGGTAATTTTTTTTTAAGGTTAAGATGATTTCATATTTGTTATCATGTTTCTGAAAAATACTGTTTACAGAGCACCATTCTATGAGTAGAGACACATGAAATGATGCAGTCCTTGGAAATTAAGGAAGATTTACTAAACAAAATCTGGTAAAAATCAACACAAAGATTTTCATTATTTGATTACACTTTTGCCAATGAAGTTTTTATCAATGTTATTAATCATGTGTTTTTTCCTTGGTTTTATCATTAACATACATTTCATATACTATTTACCATAATTTTAGTATGCTATTTGGCAAAATACAGACTTTGGTTGAAACTTTTTAAAGAAGAGATATCTAATATGTCATTATTCATTTCTCAAAATTAGAGTCATGGCAACAAAAAATTAATTTAAAGTTGAAATGTGATAAAATTTCAAAAAATAATTTCTTAGAGTGAAACATTGACTCACATGGTATATTGAGTTAAACTTTAGAAATGTATGGTGGAATAATAAGGTAGATTGATTTTGTAGCATAATTGCTCAAGAAAGGGCAAACAAAATAAATATATCTTTGGGAAATTTTCTCTGTGTTCATGGAGATCTCAAAAATTTTGGTCAACAAAATAGAGATAAGTCTATGACCACCACTGAAATTAATACATTTGGAATTTTTACAAATGAAAGAATGAAGTGGGTAACACATATGCAGATAGAGTTTTGTCCAGAGATTTATTCCAGAAATAATAGACTATAAGTTGGAAAATGTTTTCTAAGTACCTTTACAAATAGTGAGAAGTTGAAAGAGAATTAAGAAAATAATCTAGGTCCTAAGACATATTATGGAGCTACTTTTGACTTTTATAAAATGCCACCATTTTAGGCAAGTGCTATTTATCTAGTAATTAAGGCACCTAATAAACATATTTGAAAAAGGATAGTTTTGAGCTTCTTTATGTGATCTCTTCCCAGTTTCGTTATGGTGGGGATGGTTCTAAAGGACCAACTGTCTCTGCTCAGGAAGCACAGGCTCAGGCCATACTGCAGCAGGCTCGGGTAAGAGAGCAAAACATGCATTCCTGAACCTGATTGTGTGTGTGTGTGTGTGTGTGTGAGTATGTGTCAGTGTGTGTGTGTGTGTATTGTATATGGAATATAGATGGAACAAATGCTAAAATTGTATTTAGTTTTACAGTATTGATAATCAACTGAATATTAAGTAACTGACCCTTGTAGTAATTCTATATATAATTCAGGCTGTTTCCCACTTATAGCACCCAAAATTTGTATGTTTTTCTGACGAGTGGTACTTACATCCCTTATCTTGCACATGTTTTTTTCTCTGAGAGGTGTCAGTCTTTGTCTGATAGATATAATTAAGAGAATAAAGTTTGAAAGAACAAGTTCAACTTAACATCTTGATTATTTAAAATATCATAATCTAGAAAGTTAAGATTCTTGAAACTTATTATGTATAAAAAGGGCCGGTCAGTCTGTAATTTCAGTTAAAATCTTTATCGCCTAAAATATTTTTATAAAATCCATTCAGTGTTGATAGATATTCAGTTTAAAATCTGTTCTCAATTTAAAGCATTAACAATTTTTAGATTGATAAAATAGTTAATCTCATTTATATTTTTATCTGTCTTCATTGCAATTAAAATATACATGAAACAATAAAAAAAGAAGAACCAAGAAGGAATCAGAAAGCACGTATTTTTTTTCATAGTAATTTTTAAAGAAAGGAACAACATGCCGGGGATCTAGCTCAGTGACTCTTCGCCTTCCTGGCAAGCGCAAGGTCCTGAGTTTGATCCCCGGTACAAAAAAAAAAGGAACAACAGGATTTATGGTTGGTATGGATGTGGTTACCCACTTACTAATTAATATAAGACCCTTCTGTCATAATTTTTATTTATTATCATAAATATATAATGTGCAAAATATCTGAAAACATAAGTAAAAGCTGTAATTTACTTTCAATATTTATGTGTTTCCTAATCAACTAATTTGAAAAAATATTATTCATGACTACATAATATTTAAATAAAATAAAAATGTATAACATAATTTAGAAAATATTTAATAATTGATTTATGATTCCTATGGTTTAGCTTATAAATTGTATCATTTTGAAAAAATGTAAGATGATTATTTGAATGTAAATATTTTGAGGCTGATGAATTCCTCATTAATCCTCTTAACCTGTTTGAAAAATTGATTTGAAAAATTGGTGGCAAGCATTATAATTCAAATTTTTCAGATATTTAATCTCAAGGATTAAGAAGTATATTGTCAAAAAATCTCATGGTGAGTTAGAAGTGGAAATTTGGAGATCCTATTGTTTTCATCCCATGCACTATTCCAATATGATTTTGCATTTTTTCCATCACAGTATTATTTTGGTATGTTAGGATAAACTTAAATATTAATCTTTTGGATTCACTAATACTCAAAAATATCACACCATACTAATATAACATCTATCAGATTTTTAACTATTACGGTCAACATATTGTAGCTTTTTGAGTATGCTAATTACACCTGTCTAATATTCAGTGTGACAGAACTGCACACAATCAGTCCATTTTTCCAGATTATGCAAAGTTATTATTATGAAGTATTAAATTTGAGATTTAGTGAAAAAGTATATTATCATAATGCTTTCTGTCCAATTTATGCTTTGTGCACCCAGACTCTCATTATTGTATTTTTTCCTAAAGTAATGTTAGAAAAATTTTACTTAAAGTACCTCAAACTGTTCACTTTTAAGAATATTTTCAATGAGAATTGTGTTTGAACATTTAAGCAGAAAAGGTTATACATTATTCTGAAGAACATATCAGAATAGAAAATTATCAGATGTTAGATTTGTTCTAAATCTATTTTACCTTTTATTATTGATTAAATCCTAACAATATATGGTATAGATTCTCTATGTTTTAAAGTTTAAAAAGTGTCCTGTAATTACTTAGGTCTTTTGTCAACCTGGCAACTTGCCTTTCTTCAGTAACCTGGTACTGTTTCTAGCATGTTGCTATAATAGTTGTGTTGATTGTGTGCTGTATAAGCGAGTGGTGCAGATGGCCATTCCATTTCAAAATGCTCTCCCAGGAGAACTTTCTTGAACTGGATGTATTTCTTATTTTCTAGATTGCTCTGAGAGGCCCACCTGGCCCAATGGGTCTGACTGGAAGACCAGGTCCTGTGGTAGGTTGTTTCATCCAAAAACATAACATATGTTAAAATATTCTTACTAGTAGTCCCTTGCACCTTCTCTCAAGTCCTATTGATATCTGAGGTCAATGAAAATATTGTTCCTATAACTATTCATGCTTGACATTGCTTCCATTGAGAATCACTTTCAATTCAATTTTTTAAATCTATTTTGATAAAAAGGTTTTAGTTGAAGTTCATTATGTGAAGTATATAAAATAAAAATATAATTCACTCATATATGCAACTATTATTTTCTCAAATTATGTAATTTTTTGGCTTAGATTCAGTTAATAACATGCAATTTTCATTACATTTTTGAGATTTAATTTTAATTTTGGGATTAATTTTTAATTTTAAGATTAATTGTATATTAAGTAATTTTTCACAGATGTCTTGTATAAATGTCTCATTTAAAACTCTTGGTAGCAAACAAGATAATTGGTTTAAACTGAAGGTTGCCTCAAAATTCCATGAATTACTTTAGATAATAGAGAAATTATTTTCATATTTTAGACTCTTAGAAAATAACAATGTGATTTCTTTTTCTTCATAAGCATGCTAATAAACTAAAATATTTCAAATATGTTTTTCTAAAATATTTTCAGTTATTTTGAAATGTACTAAACTTCAGCAATGAAGCATTTTATAAACAACACAATACTTTTCAGATCAAGTTCTCTCAAAAAAGAACCAGTGTTTTCACTGATTTTAGAATTTATGAGAAAAATGTCTACTTTAAGAATTTGTTTTTTATTATAAAAATTATTTCTTCTATGCATTAGTATAATATCATATGCTTCCAGTATGCTTTCTCTCCCCCGACCCCCTGGAAATTGAACCCCGGACCTTGCTCCTGCCAGGCAGGCACAGTGCCACTGAGCTACATCCCTGGCCCTCAATATGCTTTCTTGAAGTAAAACTATTTATGGAATATATTAGTCTGAAAGTTAAAAATCTTATCTGTGTTCTTAGTTGACATTTATTAGCAAATTTTTTTAACTGAAATTAGAATCAAATACTTAGCCTTCTAATTAATTTATTTTATTGATTCCATGAAAATGATACATAGTTTTCCTCATGTTTTATGCAAGAGTTATGTGGCTTTCCATAAATTTATATTCCCCTCAATTCAATCTTGAAATGTCATTAATATTTTATGTATGTTGAAGTGTTATATATTCCGCAACAGGCACTCATGTGTAATATATGAGAATTCAAGTTATAGACATTTGAAAAATTATCATATTTATTTTGAATATTTTTATTGTTCTGCTTTTCAAAATACAATAAGGATTATGGAAGATTTTATGTAATTTAACAAAGGAAGAAACAAAAGTTAATTTGTCAGTGACTCAAATTTACATACTTGAGGAAAATATGTTAGTGTTTTCCAAACTTTGGTGCAGCTGAATTATCTGGGTATTTTATTAAATATAAAAATTCCAACATACTTAAACTTGGGACACTAATGGTGAAGTTTTAGAGTTGGAATTGCTGAATTGTATTTTTAATGAGTAGCCCAGTTTATTTTTATAGCCATACTTTCTTGGAAAATTCTGTCATATGCTCTGATTTACAGTCTAGAACCTCTCACACAGTATTATCCAACCAAATGTCATTATTTAATCATCTTGACAAATGCAAGCAAGTGGATACGTAGAGGGTGTGGGTAGTGATGAACAGAACCAATGGAAACTTGTTACATTAGCAGTTCTTGGCCAATCATTGAGGCTCAGCCATTTTTAATCATTATATATTGGCAAAGTGAAAACATTGACAACATTGTGGACATTCTTAATGTTGTAGCAAACATTCATTCACTTTATCTACTTATCTCTTATGGAAAGTTTTAGCTTACTTAAAGATTAAAAAATATATATGAAAATTTAAATTCAATTTAAACTCATTTAAATTTCACCATTTTCTATTATGCTTTGTTCAAAAATATTGTTATTAATCTTTCAAATATCTAGTAATTATGTAACTACAAAAATAGTTCATGCATTAGAGTTTAGAAAAAAATGTACATCAGATTTTAACATAAATATGGACAGTTTTTCAATGAAAAACTAATTTATAGAGATGTTGTTATTCAATTTTTCATGCAAAAATGGATATACTGTAAAATATACAGAAAACATTGAGAATGTGTTTCCCTATTCTATCAGTCAATTATTACGTGACAATTTTTAGAATAAGTGTTTTGGCAAGTAAAATACAATCTATTGACTACCTAGTGCTTATATACAAAGGATATAATACAGTCAATTACAAATTAACTTCTATTATTGTAGTCAATATAGTAATTAATAATTTGATTTAATGTTGAACTACAGATTTTCTTTTGCAAAAATTAAGCTGCAAATATTCTTAATCTGAACCTTGAAAGTCGTCATTATTTTCATTTTTAAGATTAGAAAATTTATACTACTTGATCTTTCATTTCCTGAGTCAAGTTAGTAGTTATTTTACTTTGGAACCACCAGGAGGCTCTGGAGAGCTAGTATTTTCTGATCTAGTATAATTTTAATCACTGTACTTTTATACAACATTCAATTTAACAGAATATATATTGATTTAAGTAAATCAGGAACTTCTTAAACACACAGAGTATACTTGTTCAGCATGAATTTAACTATAATCACCATATTCATTTTTAATGTGCTAAAGCATTTAGGGACCGTAAGTGGCCGAATACAAATTTTTAAAGCTCACAACTCCTTTATTGTGCAATTTAATACTTTTTCCTATTTAACATGAGAAGTTTTCATTGCAGTTTTTGAATTATGTAAATATTTGTAAGAAGTTTTTGTTATAATGAGTTCTCATGAGCAAAACAATCTGCGAAAAATATTTTGACGTTATTTCAGTAGTTATGATAAAAATAATATCTATTGTTGCCATTTCATAACTTTTGAGTTCCACATCTGAAAATACATGAATATAAAAGCAGTGATATTTTACCAAATCTGTTTTGTATAAATTGATTCAATGCATGTATAACTTTGAAAGTGTTTTTGTTCCAGGACTGTGAAACTGTGTTGCTCTAGTACCCAACACAGTGTAGTGGTACTCCTTTGCATCAGCATAAGTATTCTGATAGTACTCACATTAAAGAAAATTTTAATGTGATTCATGAGGTTGGCTTTTGGATAGATATTAGTGAAATATAAACCTTTAAATGCAGTTCACATGCTGAAATACATCAGTATGCTGAGAAGAGGTGCACTTCTAGAAAAAGACTTGAAATGCCTACTATATTAATTAATGGAATCGTACTAATTTGATTAAGCATGTTTACAATGTTTATTTCAAGTGAAAATATGACAAAAGCACTTTGGGAATTTCTGAATTAAGTGACTGATTTAGGCCTTCAATTTTTCTGTACAGGGAGGACCTGGGTCATCTGGGGCCAAAGGTGAGAGTGGTGATCCTGGTCCTCAGGTAAAAAAAAAATGTTATTTTCACTTATTTTATTATTATCCTTATTTTATCTATTAGTACAATTGAACTATCTACTATCTCCAGTATGTTACTTAAAGCTTACATTACCTCTTCTTTTAATTTTTAAATTTTTTAATTAACTAAATGTCTCCAAGAGTCATTTCTGGAAGCAAGTATTACCCTATAATACTAAAGCCAGAAAAGAATCCAAGCAAAAGAGAGAACTACAGGCCAATCTCTCTAATGAATATAGATGTAAAATCCTCAGTAAGATACTGGCAAACAGAATGCAGCAGATCATCAAGAAGATTACACACCATGACCAAGTAGGATTCATCTCAGGGATTCAGGGATGGTTCAGCATATGCAAATAAATAAATGTACTATACCATATCAACAGAGCCAAAGACAAAATTCATGTGATCCTTTCAATAGATACAGAGAAAACATTTGACAAAGTCCAACACCCATTCATCATAAAAACTCTACAGAGAATTGGAATAGATGTTTTTTTTTCTAAATCTGTAAAAGCCATCTATGATAAACCAACAGTCAACATCATAGTGAATGGTCAAAAACTGAAAGCTTCTTTTGTAAAATCAGAAACAAGACAAAGATGTCCACTATCACCACTCCTATTCAGTATAGTCCTAGAAACATTAGCCAGAGCAATTAGACAAGAGAAAGAAATAAAAGGTATAAAGGTAGGAAAGAAAGAAATTTAATTATCATTATTTACAGATAATACTCTTCATAGAAGATCTCATAAACACCAGCAAAAGACTTCTAGATTTAATAACCAAATTCAGTAGCATAGCTGGATACAAGATCAACACTCAGAAATCAATAGCATTCCTGTACACAAATAACAAATTCACTGAGGGAGAAATTAGGGAAACCACATCTTTCACAAAAGCATTGAAAAAAATAAGATATGTAGGAATCAGTCTAACAAAGGAAGTAAAAGATTTTTACATTGAAAACTACAGTACTCTGAAAAAGGATATCTAAGAGGATATCACAAAATGGAAAGATATCCCTTGCTCTTGGGTAGGAAGAACCAGAATAGTGGAAATGGCCGTATTTCCAAAATTGTTACACAGATTTAATGCAATCATTATCAAAACACCAATAGCATACCTCACAGAATTAGGGAAAACAATCCCAAAATTCATTTGGAACAAGAATAGACCTAGAATAGCAAAGGGAAAGCAACAAGGGCAAGGCAGGGAGCATCATAATCACTGATTTGAAATTATACAACAAAGCTACTGTGATTAAAACAGGATAGTACTGGCAAAAAAAAAAAAAAAACCAAACCAAACCAAAACAAAACAAAAACCCCTGAGGATCAATGGAACAGATGAGAAGATGCAAAAACAATTCCAAACACACTCAGTCACCTTATCTTTGATAATGGGGCTAAACATCTTCACTGGAAGAAAGATAGCCTCTTTAATAAATGAAGCTGGAAAAACTGGCTTTCCACATGCCAAAGACTAAAATTACATCACCTCTTTTAGTTGAAAAGTCCAGAGTGACTACTTGAGTCTCAGTAACTTTGTTAATTTCACAATATTTAAATTGTGGCTGGAAACAGACTTGAAAATAATACCTATGGTATATTCTCCATCAACTTTTTATTTGTTGGAATTCTATGCAAATTATATATTATATAACTTTTTTTTAAATTTTAAAGCTTTATGAGAGTAGCTTTTTAACATATCCTGATGCCTCTGAGATTCAACACACTTGAGTGCATCAACATTGCATGCCTTTAGTTGCTAATCAGTATTCCATTGTGTGGATGCAACATAGTTTATTTTAAAATGAGAAAAAAATCCAAACAAAACTGATAAAAGATATTTGGTTGACTCAAAAATGACAGCCTTCTTATTCATGTTTGTTAACATTTGCCATAAAAAGATGGAAAATATTTGTAGCTTAACTGAGAATTGTGTGAAAATATTAAAACACACTACATGTACTTCTAGGAATTTATTCATCTGTAGTTTGTAAATTTTTTAAATCAAACTCTTCCCTTTACAAAACATATGAATTTGAAAATACACTATAGCAGTGTTTGTAGATTTTGCATTTTTCTTTGATTGCCTAAAGCCAAAGACAGAGATGTGCTATCAGAGGAAAGATCATTTATTATTGCTACTTGCCTTCCATCTGTGTCCAGGCTATAGTATTTCCACGGCAACATTTTTTTTTTTAAAAACTATATTCTTTACCTCTAATTGCTACATAATCTTACCTTTGTATTTTAGTATGAATATGTTACAGTGATAGAAAAAATTATTTGTAATTTCAAATGTGGATCTCATTTTTTACCACATTCATGATATACATATTATTTAAATCAATGTTAAGAAAGAATAGATATAAAGGTCTATATTATATTTGTGCTGCAACTAGATTTGGTCAGTTATAAGATTTATGTATAGATAATATATAGATGGATAGAGATGGAGATATAACATTGCATTGTACTGCTACTAAATACAATGAGTACGTTGAGTCTTTTTAATGTTTAATCTGGTTTGGCATAGTACTGGTAAATAGTGGTCCTCCTGCATTTTATGTATGGGTATATGGTTGATGAAATACCAATATGTACCAGATACTACAGTAAGTTGAAACATATTTGGTTGTAAACTTTAGCAGTTTACAATCTAATAGGAGATTCAACTATAAAAATGGAAGTAACAATCCAGGATATCTAGGATGGGACTCTAAAAAGTGAAGCAAAAGAGCTTGGAAAGAGAAATGTGACAGATAGTTAAGAATAGGTTCAGTCAATGGAAATGTAAAGCCCATGGTTTTGGGAATAAAACAAGTAATTAAGAGCATTGTTAAAGTTTAAAATATTCCATTATATTTCTTTTGTTTAAGTTACATTGCATGCCTACCTGTGAATTCAATAAATAATATGATTTTTTAATGTAAGAAGACATTTAAAACATTGATTCCCTTGTCTTCTGATTTATCTAAATTTTTATATAGAAATAAACTCATTGTGTTTAAATTTGCAAGTAAATCTAAGAGGGTAACAGTTTCTAATGCCATTTTATTGATGTTATTGAGTTTATGACCAAACATTCTACAATATGATATGATTGTGATGTTTTGCTGTAGGGCCCTCGAGGTGTACAAGGTCCTCCTGGTCCAACAGGAAAACCTGGAAAAAGGGTATGGCGGATTCTCATTGTGTGTTTTGAGGTCCATCTACAATGATCAGTTAGTTTGCTTTCTTCTGCTTTCCATTGGTAGGAAACCCTTTACCTTAATTCTGTTCTTGGCCTTGTCAGGGTCGTCCAGGTGCAGATGGAGGAAGAGGAATGCCCGGAGAGCCCGGATCAAAGGTCAGGAGCTAGATACTTGTATATTCAGCTCTCATGTGTCATTTCATCCTGGAATTTTGAATTTTAAAATAAAATTTTGGGGTATGGAATGATATTGGCATTCAAATTACAATGCAGATCTAATTAGAAATGTGATGATTGTAATGATTATGATTTTACAGGGAGATCGAGGGTTTGATGGACTTCCTGGTCTACCGGGTGACAAAGGTCACAGGGTAAGTTACATCTGCTACTTTTTATTAAAGGACAATAGAAACATTATGCAATATTTTAGTATTGGTGCACTTTAATAAATCTGAAAAAGTTAATTCAAATACTTGTAAATCCATTCATTAATTTATTTCACCTAGTAGATATTTGAAGAAACGTAGATAAAATTATGTAGCATCAATTGTTTTTAGAGATACTAAGGCTCCTGCATGCAAACATAAATTGAGGCACCATCTAATTTTTGATAATTGCCTCAGTTTTCTGCTTTCATTTTGTCTGTGGAAATATAATCATAAGAGGACATCCATAGGCTGTCTTTCATTAACACAATAATTTACTGGCAATATAATATTTTTTAATGATATTAGCTTTCATTCCAAGCAAGAGCTCATAATTTGCTAATGCTGAAAAACCTACCATACTAAATAGAAATCCAATTGAAATTTTAGTGGGGAAATTAAATGAACAGGCAGATTCTCAAAAAAAAAAAAAAAAAAAAGATAAACTTTGAATATATCCATCATTCTTCACCAGAATGAAGAAAATAGAGAATAAAGATAGATAATCTTTAGGCAAACTGGAGAAGGAGCTGTGGAAAAGAAAGTAAAAGAAATGAGAACCTTCCTGATGTCTAATACAGTATCTAGTATGTGTCTAATATATGTGATGATAAATATATGATTGTGTTTTTTTAATAAGAAAAGGCAAAAATCCTTTAGTATTCTGGAACTGTTCTGATTTTAAAAAACAAAATATTTAGAGGTAGAAAATATTTAGCTAACAGCACCAAAGTGTATCCATGCTTGAGACCATAGCCAAATAATTTTTAACTTCATCTTATAATAATTAAATGTCTGAACATTATTTTGGGTAATTATTTTACATAAAATTTTTGTATTGAATTTTGAGAAAACATTTCTTTCTAACATACTGACATGGAAAACTAGATAGAGTTGAAAAATTATGATTTATCTCTGAAGTGCTAGATGATAAAGCCCAAGTTGTCCTTGTAAAATGCCCATTTGTATTTGATTAAGCTGTTTCCCTGAAAGGCTTGTAAACATTTTGCTTGTTTCATTTCTAATTATGTTATTCTTTATCCATTAGGGTGAAAGAGGCCCTCAAGGTCCTCCTGGTTCTCCTGGAGATGATGGAATGAGGGTATATTAACAGTTCATTTCCTTAAGATGATTATAGAATTAAATCATAGGAGGACAAAATCATGTTGAAATGATGAAATGTCTGATCACCCTGCCCTCTATTCATCAATGACAGGGAGAAGATGGAGAAATAGGGCCAAGGGGTCTTCCAGGTGAAGCGGTAAGCAGTGTTTTCTTTCTTTTCAAATAATAGTGTTCGTACTTTGATGAGCAGTGACTGATGTCACACATGTAAAGGCAATGATAAACCCAATAGATAGTGCAGTCTTTTCTAAGCTTACGCAGTCATTGTCCAGCTAGGAGAATAAGAAAAGGATATATAGGGATCTTCTTTTGTTATAAAGAATATCCAAGACATTTGAGAGAAAAAAAATGTGGAAAATAACATATTACCTGTCAAAAATTTGCCCATTTTTTCCTCCGTGTGCTTTCTTTTTCCTCATTTGAATGCTATCAGGAGATCCAGATTCTATTTATGTACTTAGTATTAGTTACTTATTATCAGGAGAATCAACAGAAGGAGGGGCATGGTATATAACATATATAAAGATTTTATCATTTTTCCATCAAATACTAATTATCAGTAAATTAAACTGGGTAGGTTTACTCAAATGAAGCTCACAAGAAGACTAGAATAGAAAAAGCCCTCCTAAACTCCCAGTCTTAATTTGCTCTAGGTTGGAGGCTGTCAAGTCAGTTGTGGTCAAGGAAGTGGAAAGGGAGAGAGAAGAGCAGAAATTGAGTTTGAATAGTAATACATGCAGAAATCTTTTGGCAAAGCTTGGTGACAGATGCATGTATTCCCAGCACTCTGGGAGACTAAGGCAGGACAATTGAAAGTTCAAGCCTAGCCAGGGCAACTGAGAGACACAGGGAAACCTTTTCTCAAACATAAATAAACAAACAAACAAACAAACAAATAAATAAATAAAAATAATAAATAAAAAAGGGCTGGGAATATAGTTCAGTGCAAAGCTCCTTAGTTCAATCCCTGTATCCTTCTTTTCCCTAAAAAGTTTCTGTTAAAAGTAGTTTCTTTTCATTTGCTTTAATTATTGGTAATGTTTGAAATTCATAATGATTACTTTCTTTGTGAGGACTTGGTACATGTACATAACACACTTACTTTTTCATCCCCTTCCTTTTCCTTTCCTTTCTTTCTCTCTTCCTTTTGTCTCTTCCATTCCCTTTTGTAAAAGAGTTATCTCCCTATTTCCCATTATTATTTATTGTGCTCTTTATATTTTGCATTTCTTATATAAGAGAAACCATATGATAGACTGTCTGTCTGATTTATTTCACTTAACATTATGATCTCGAGGTGAGTCCATTTTTCTACAAATGACTCAAGTTTGTCATTCTGTATGGTAGAGTTGTACTCCATTGTGTATAAATTTCACATTTTCTTTATCCCCTCCTCTGTTGATGGACATATAGACCACTTCCAAGATTTAGCTCTTATTTATGCAGCTATAAACATGGGTGTGTGGGTGTATCACTGTAATATGATGTGATTAACTCTCCAGGAAATTACCTAGAAGAGGAATACCTGGGTTAATTGGAATCTCTAGTTGAGTTTTTTTGAGGAATATCCATGTTTATTTCCATAACGGAAATGTTAACATTTGTACCAACAATGTAGAAGGGTTCCTTTTTCCCTTGAAGCTTTGTCAGCATTTATGTTGTTTGACTTCTTCATGATTCATTCTTTCTGGGACAACATGGAATTTCAATGTTCCTTTAATTTGAGTTTCTCTATTGGCCAGAGATGTTGAACATTTTCTCATGTACTTATTGGCTTTTTGTACTTCTTCTAAGAAGTCTTTATTCATTTCAGTTACCCATATTTTGCCTGAATCTTTATTGGGGGGATCTAATTTTTTTGAGTTCTTTGTATATGTTAGATATTAGTCTTCTGTCCAAGAAATAGCTAGCAGACATAACTCAATGGAACATGAAGGATGCAGAAACAACTCCAAGTGCATTCAGCTATCTGATCTTTAACAGAAGGGACCAAAAAAAATGCTGGGGAAAAGGTAGCCACTTTACCAAATAATGCCTGGAAAACTGGCTGACCATGTGCAAAAAATTAAATCTAGACCCGTATTTCTCATCGTGTGCTAAACTAAAATCAAAATGGATAAAAATCTAAATATTGAAACCACACTTACCTGTGGGAAGAGAAACTAGATAATTCTTATATTGCAGCTGTAGGCAAGGACTTTCCTTTTCCCTCAATTGTACAAGAAATAGTACTAAGAATCATCAAATTAAAAAGTTTCTGCACAGCAAAGGAAACATACAACAGAGTGAAGAGACAACCAATAGAAGTGGGGAAAAAATTGCCAGCTATTCCTCAGACAGAGGACTAATGTCTAAAAACAGTTTCCATAATCTTCATGTATAGTTATCTAGCTGCTTGTTTCTTTCTCTTAATAGTCTTCCAAATAAAATATAAATGAGAATGAGGGCTCTTCTGTTTGTACAGTCTATCTGATTGCATAGTAAGATTCAGTGTTGCCATTCAAATCCAACAAAAAGTGCCTTATTAAAAATATTAAACTATTTTCTCTCTTTAAAAATTCCCGAGTGATTCATATGGAAATTTATAGAATCAAAGTTACGTAGTTTCTCTATGAAAGACTTTTATCTATTCAGGGTTTCAGATTAGTATAACACTAGATATTTAAGTTCCATACAAATGATATTTAAATATCACTTTTAGCGTATGAAGAGAAGATGTGCAAATATTTTGCCCTAAGTAATATATTCAGATTTTTTCAAAGGAAGAAGCAAGTTTTGAAGGCATTTCTTATGACAACATGCATTTGCTTTGTTTCCCTCTTAGGGCCCACGAGGATTGCTGGGACCACGAGGAACTCCTGGACCTCCCGGACAGCCTGTATGTATTGCTGGGAGCATTCTGGATTTTCTAGGGAAAGCTTGTTGCCAAACTTTTAAAAACTGACAAGCCATTAAAAAAATCCTTTTAGTAGAGAGCCAAGCACTGAACATTTTGTTATGTTTAATTCGAAGGATGCTGCCTATCAGTTTAACTGATCATGCCCTTCCTGGTATTTTCCTTTTCTTCCTTTTATTTTATTTGTCTTGTGGGTTTTATGATGAAACCTATCACCATGTGAAAAGATGCTAGATTATCTCCAATCAGGACATAGATAGGATAGTATAGGCATGCCTCATTTTCATTAACTCTAAATCCCCATTTTAATTTAACCTTAAAAAGATTTTCAGTCATGTTGGGCAAGTATATGTCATGTTATTAGAGTAGGATTTTTGATTTTTTTTTTTTAGTGTTTAAAATTTTAAACAAACATAACATTTTTTTCTCCATGTAAGGGCATCGCAGGTGTAGATGGCCCCCCTGGACCGAAAGGGAATATGGTATGTAGCAAACATTCTAAATTCATTTCTGTAGTCTGAACACTAACATTTGTGCAGTTAAACTTAAAATGAACATTTATATGACAGTTTGCTAAATACAGTAGCAACTGCTAGCATTAATATTTCTAGACTCTCTTGATAGGAAACTAAAGTTGGGGCTATTTTTCAGATGAGAAGAGAAAAACTATGTTGTACAAATAGCTATATTAAGGGCTTTCTATTTTCTGATGCAGGGTCCCCAAGGGGAGCCTGGACCTCCAGGTCAGCAAGGAAATCCAGGACCTCAAGTAAGTCTAAGCAGTTACAGCTCCTTTGAGGTAATGGGTAAAATAGTATTATTTTTTTTCTGCACAAAAATCAACAGTCTCAAAATTTTTTAAGTAGGGCTAAATATGTTGAAAATGTTAATGTTGAAATATTTTTCTTCTTATCTTTAATTTGAGCAAACTTGCAGAGGCTCCATTTCCATGAAAAAAATCAGTCATTCAGCATTCAGAAAATGCAGAATGAATCCCAACACCTGCAGGAGGGTACTGAATAGGATTGCAGTACAGTCTGCCTGCAAATAAAGTAGTTTGTGTAAAACTCCTCATAGAATTCCAAAAGTTTCCAGATAATGGAAGGATTCTATATACTTTTACATAGATGTCCAAAGCTCATTCTATGTGCAATCAAGGCTTCATAATTTACTTTTCAGAAAGTGTATTCTTGTGATTCATAACATGAAATAAATTCTTTTAAAATAGGGTCTTCCTGGTCCACAAGGTCCAATTGGTCCTCCTGGTGAAAAAGTAAGTTACTCTGTTATTGTAATAATCTCTGGTAAACAGGTATGAGGTTAACAATATGAGGGAGGTATAAGGGCTGTCTTCTGCTTTTGATACATACTTGGATAGCACAGAACATAAGAAATTATTCTGAATTTAAACTTCGACAATACAGTGTGAATAGAATTTATTAATATATATTTAAAATATGAATGATAAAATTTTTGCATAGTTACCATTTAGACAGCTTCCAAATATGACATTCTAAGCTATATTAATTTCAGAAACCTACTGATATGAGTGACTATTTTCTCTTTATTTTGGCTCTCCTTTCTTTCTTATTACTTAAAAAATATGACTGTGGCAAAGGATTTATAGCATGATCTGACTAAGGGTTAATTGTGAACCAGTTTTCATATATAAATTTTCATTTATTCATATATATATCATACAATGACTCAATGTCTGGATCAAAACAAAAATAAATCTTTAATTAGAGAGATATCTTTTTTTTTAATCTCTGCCAGGTTCCCTGAGAGTAGTATTTCCTGCTCACTGTAGTTACTGTGCAATTGTTGGCTGGCTCTTTGTAAAATCTTTTTCTTCTTTTTGTGGATTTCTATGAACATTTCAACTTAAAAAATAAAACACCATTATTGAAGTATGATCTCAATACCTCCAAAGTTCCATGTTTTAAGTGTACATGTAAATTCAGAGTAGTGCCACAACCTAACTTTTAGATAACTTATATCACTCTGGAAAGAATCCTGTGTCACTTACAGTCCCTGATTCCAACCCCAGACCTAGACAAGAACTACTTTGCTTTCTGTCAGTGTAGATTTGCTTTTTCTGAATATTTCATATAAATAAAATGCACAAATAAATTTAATATGTGGCTTGAATCACATGACAGAATGCAATACAGGACCTTTATGTCTAGCTTCTTTTATTTGTTATAATGCTTTTGAAATTTATCCATGTTACAGCATATATTGGTACTTTGATCCTTTTTTTTTCTTTGATCCTTTTTTATTGCCAGATAGTATTACATTCTAAGTTCTGTTTATCTAGCAGTTGATGGTCATATGGGTAGTTTACATACAATTTTATCTTTTATCCATAAATTAATGCGGGTGAAAATATTTACATGCCAATCTTTGCACAGATTTGTTTTCATTTGATTTTGCTAAATACTTAAAAGTGCTCATTCTTATACAAAGCATGTTTGAGATTTTAAGAGACTCCCAAACTGTTTTCCAAAGTGGTTTTATTATGTTTTCCTTTTCAACCAACAATATGTGAGTATATTAGATTCTCCACAGCCTAATAAATACTTGATATTATCTTTCTATATTATGCCCACATGGTGTGAAATAGTATATCATTGTGGCTTTAACTGCATCTCTCTAACCTTTAGTGATGTTTAGTACCTTTTCTTATGATCACTGGCCATTTTTATAACATTTTGTTAAAATACCTCTTTAAATTCCCAGATAATGTTCTAATTAGATTATTTATCTAATTACTGAGTTGTGAGAGTTAACATGTCTCATTTAAATGATCATTGAAATATTTTATTTTCTAGGATGTTTTCTGTACTGTCTCAGTATAGAATCATTCTTAGAAAATGTCCTATGAATTCAAGGTTCTGAAAGTGATTTTAAATCTGGAAATTATATTCTGGCCTACTGTTATATTTTATATTATCTTATAATCATACTGTATTTATTATAAATTGCACTTGAATCATGTACCTACTAAATACTGTATTCTACTATGATTTTTGTCATATTCACACTGGATTGTTAAAAGGCATATGCTTTTAGGGAAACTTGACATATCCATAATTTCCTTATTGAGCTAAAGATAACATAAAATTTGGTTCATACTACTTTTGGTAGTAAGAAGAGAATTGTCTTAAGTACATACTTCTTTGTTCTCTCATCTGAACATGTTCAATTTGTAAATTGAGAGATAATCTTTTCCATCAAAAAGAGACAAGAACTCAAGAATATGAAGGATATATATTTTACTTACATGGTATCTATCGTATATATTTTGTATTGTATTTACATCAAAAAGTAGACTCTTATTTTTAATTTTTTATAATATATTATGATCTGTTTACTCTGGATCAAGAGCTTTGTTTTCCACAACTTAGTGAATAGTAATTCTTAACTGTTACCCAGTGGAATCTAACATTTACATGTAATTTAATTAATGTAGTGTACCTTTAATTTTTAAGAATTTATATATATTTATATTAAGTTTGTGTAATCTATGTTTTTATTATGTCTGTGATAAAATATCTCATAAAGTTTAAGTTAGAGAATCAAAATTGGTAAGGCAAATATATTGTGTTTTTTTGACATTGTTAACAAATACATTGAATGCTTCATGTGATTTATGAGTTTAGCATTCATATCATTTATATAAAATAGTAGGACACAAAATAATATTCATTAGCAGGACTTGTTTGTGGATCTGATTCATTCAGATTGCAACTCTGTCGCATATTAACACATGATACTATTTCATGGAATTCATTGAGAAAAGTGGAAAATGCATATAAATTACTTAACATAGTGTACAGAAGCACTCCATAAGTTTTTACTATTTTATTAAAATCTAAGAAATATGATATTCATTCATGTTTACTGCTACACCACTAAAGAAATAGCAAGCTATTTAAAATGCAGGAGAAACATTCTGCTGTCATAGAATTCATATTTTAAAGAGATGAATTGATTTCAATTTGATTAAAAATTCATCTTATAGTACAAGAGTTCTAATATTTCTTGTTTACTTTCAAATATATACCAACATAAAATCCATGTATTATTGCTCACCAACCCATTGTCATAGAAATATTACATCTGCGGATGATAGTAATTAATGGGATACCTTTGTGTTTATGTTCTGAAGAAATGAGAATGACAGTAAAAGGTAATTTAAATGATTGGCAAAATGCTACCATTTAAATTAGCAATAATTATTACATAATGTTAAATTACTAGATTGAATATGAGCTTGTAGATTGGTGAAGAAGATTGAAAATTTTAAATCTTTTAAATGAGATTTAATTCATTTCAGTTATAAAGTCTAATTTTTCAATTCAAAGATTCATTTTAATTTTTGTGGCATGCTCATTTAACTGATATTTTCCTGTAAACCTCTGCAATATAAGTCAACATGAATACAATGATTATACTAAATACTCTCTAAGAATAGAAAAATGTACAACTGTGCTTTACATTTAGAGTTCCTGTTATATCTCTGCCCTTTCAATTGTTTTTAAGTCTTGGCTAAAAAATAGACCAATAGACAGCTGTACCTGGGGACTTGAGACAGTTAATATTCTCAGCAAAATTTCTGGTCTTCTTCCAAGAAAAGGATATAATTCTTGTGATGCTGATTCTTGGCATCCAAACTTAGCAATGGTCAAATTTAATGAAATTTGAATCCCTCTGTGGATATACACAGATTAGTGATCTGTTGAATAAAGTTACCTTTTTGTTGTTTTTTAGTTGCCTATTGGTTTATGTACTTTCAAACCGCAAAATAGATTGATGTTTCTTCATATCCTATGAATAACTATAAAAATAACATATTTTTCAAATATCTTAATAATTACTGGCATTTCTCATCATTACTATGGAATTATAGTCAGGTGTCAAGGTTTTAACTGTTCTGTGAAATGTATCATTGGTCAGTTTCAACTTAATGCCAACAGCACAGCAGGTACTTGTGCAAACCTAGATGCACTAGGTCAGTCACTTGATGTCGCCTGTTGTTGTAATCAAGAAGCATGGCAAATCGAAGATGTGTGAGGCTGCTGCCAGCACAGTACAGTATAGCATATTCTTTCTCTCTTTTTCTTTCCCTCTTCTCCCTCTTTCCATTCCTTTCCCTCTCCCTTTCCTCTTCTCCTCTTCCTGCTCCCCCTTTCTTTCCTCCTCCCCTTCCCCTCCCCATCCCCTTCTTCTCCAAATTCAGAGCGCTAAACTTAGGCCACACTCAGATCAGCAAATTGTTTTGTGGTAGATTTTTTTTTTTTTTGGTATATATAGAAAGAGTATACTTTAATGATAAAAAGTATAATATAGTGAACACATAAACCAGCAATATGGCCACTTTTATCATTATTAAGAATTATACTGTGTCTGTAACTATATCTACAATATTTTGATCCCTCTGACAGCATATTTGTTTAACATCACCACAAACATGAATAATGAGTTACATTATGACATTACAATGGTTTTGGTGTCACTAAGTGATAGGAAATTTTTAGCTGCTCTGACTAGTACAGTTCTCTAGGACTCATGACTGCATTTGAATTGACACATTTTAACATTGCTGATGAAAATATCTAATGTCCATCCCTTCAATACTATAAGCCAGTAGTTTTTTAATCTTTGTTTTCCTTTTTATTCTCTAAGATATTGTTTATTGGGGCATTGAAAAACTAATTTATTAAGTTATAAAGGATACATTTAGGACCACCAACAGGATAAAAACTAGCATATTTTTCATATCTGTTAAATGTATTTTTCATTCTTCTTTATATACCATTTCTTTCACATGAAATGTTAAAAAGTTATTTAAATGTTTATTACATGTATAGAAGCATTGCTTCATTCTAAAAATGTCAGTAGTGTATTTCTATGTACAAAGTCATTATTTTCACTTTTTAAAATAAAATATTTCCTACCTTATTTCATCAGGGACCACAAGGAAAACCAGGTCTTGCTGGGCTTCCTGGTGCTGATGGGCCTCCTGTAAGTAATAGTTACATAATAATTAAAATTTCTATATTATTTTTAAAAACAGATTTTACATGTGTTGTAGGAATATATGCAGTCAGTAATAAAATTAAATGGAAGAAACATTTAAACATTGATCTCTCTCAAACACCATTTCTCAACAGGTCACTTCTATATTGCAGTAGCTTTCTTGAGCTCACAATGGCCTCTAGATGAACTCATCCTGGCTTTGCCCACCAGAGCATCCCAGAATCCACTATTTTCTTACTTCCTTATGAGCCCTTAGCTCTGCTAAGAAAGATCCACTCATATTTTCCTTGGCAAACTTGAAGTTTTACATGATTTTTACTTTTCCCTGTGTCTCTCTGTTTTCAGAGCATTTATCCATCTTACTCTCTTTTTTCATTTCTAAGAGTCTCAGACAGTTTCACAACAATCATACATATTCTCAATTTCTCTGAAAATTCTTCAAGATTTAGAAATTTCCTCTTTCTCTAGGAATATAGCAATATTATTTTCCAGCACATAGTAACAAATACTATAAATCTATGTGTACTTTTATTATTCTAAAATTATTGTTATTTATGAATTTTTCAATTCAAACTACTCAGATTTATGAGAGCCAGGATATGAGATTTCTTATCTTGTCTCTACTAAATCTCAATAACTTTATTATTAATACTGTTAGTGTGTATGATCTTGCTGTTTTCGGATTTCTCATTTACATGTTTTTGTTACCTTTTCAAGATGCATGCATCCTACTTTGATTGATACAAAAACACAAATGAACATATATTTATTGAGAATGGGGCTAAATTATTAATAAACAATATGCATTGTTTTACATGATTTTCCTGAATTCTTTGAAGGATAACAAATATTTAAAGAAGAAACAAACCTTATTATGTTTCTTTCTAAATGCCACAGTTTCCAGTATTATTTAAAGGTATAAATGTTGAAGAAAAAGTATACAGTATTTGTTGAAAAATATATAAGATCTTAATAGATTTAAATTGAAGGAAATAATTTCCTAGTATTACAAGTTACCAATGATATTGAATTTTAACAGTATACATTTCTACTAAATACAGGGTCACCCTGGAAAAGAAGGCCAGTCTGGAGAAAAGGGTGCTCTGGTAGGTTGCATAGTATCTATTTAAATGTCCTGTCAGCTTATAAGTAAGAAAAATATACTCTAATTGGCTATCTTTATAATATAAATATATATATGTATTTCCTATGTTCACAATGAGATATGAATATTAGAAACTGCAAGAGAATATTTTATCTCTGTATGTTTTTACTTTCTGAAGAATTACTTTCTAATATTTTAATGTAAATTATGCTGCAAAAATTATTTTTGGTATAATAAACCAGCATGGGTTAGATAGACAACTTTTAATTTTATATTGTTAAACTTACAAAGTAGATTGTATTTTCTTTTTTCTTTTCTTTTTTTTTTTTTTTTTGGTACTGGGGATCGAACTTGGGACCTTGTGCTTATGAGGTAGGCTGCAGAACCACTGAGCTAAATAGCCAGCCCTGTATTTTCTGTTTTTTAATAAATATTCTCATAGTCAAGAGTACATCCATGTTCTGCATAAATAGTATGAATTGAATAAATGATCATAATTATAATAATGCAACTGTCAAAAATTACTGAAAATCATTAAAGTGTTTCTGTAACCCCTATTTTATCTCATTACTTCCTGGTAACTTTTAACTAAGAGAATATTTTATTTTTAATAACAATGATTAGAAAAATATCTAAATAAAATTTTTAAAAACTTTGTCCAATATACGTACTATATTGGATAACAGTAGCAAAGATAGAAACACTTGTGTTTTGAGTTGTTAAAATAGCATTAAAATTCTCAGCATTAGTGTAGAAATGTTATGTTTTATATGTTCTTTCTTTTACATGTACTAGAGAAGTGAAACCAACTGTGGAAAATGTATAATTTGGATCATAATCTTCATGATAGGAATGCTGCAAATGAATATAACTTTTTAATTTGAACTCAGTTCTGCTGGTTAACCTGTAAATATCTACTGTAGACACTAGGCCCAAAGAACTTTTTCAAGTTAAAAAGTTTGATATTAATTATCTGATTAGCCACATTATTTTACTAACTTAATAATTATATCCAGCTTAGCTATTGTATTTGCCTTCTGTTGCTAGCACAAATTACTTGGGCTGAGTAGTTCATAAAAATAGGTTTATTTAATTCATATTTTGAGACTTCAAGACTTAGGATTGAGGGACCTCTGGTGGTCAATTTGACCTCTGGTGTAGGCTCCTTTGATTGTGTGACTACATGTCAGTTGGCCTCTGTGGAGAGTGTGTACAACAGGGAGAAATCAAGAGATAAGACAGGACTGGACCTGGCTTTCTCATTTATAATAATCTGTGTTGACAGGAATTAACCAGGGTCCCTTAAGAAATACATGAATCCCTTCAGCAGGCAGAACTATGTTAACACCTGCCAGTGACCTTAGCCCCTCTCATGGGCATCCTCCTCTTAAATGTTCCAACATCACCACACTGGAGATCAACCTTCTACCACTCGAGCAGTTGCAAACCTCATGCAAACCATAAGAATTAACTCATTTTTACCATGAATATACATGAATTTAGAATCATTAGTGCTAATCACATTGTTAATCATATCTAACACTTAAAAATAAACTCTCCCCAAATCTTTACCAAATATTAATATTAAAAATTTTTGAAGTTGTTAAGCAAAATTATAGAATGTAAAAGAGTAATGTTTTCAATGTATTAATTGTTTAAATTGCAATCAATTTTTTGCAGGGTCCTCTTGGTCCACAGGGTCCTATTGGCTACCCTGGTCCCCGAGGAGTAAAGGTAAATGTTAAATTGTTTACATATTATTTCATTTCAATGTGAAATGTAATCAGTTAATACTTTTAATTTATTTCATAGGGAGCAGATGGTGTCAGGGGTCTCAAAGGATCAAAAGGTGAAAAGGTAAAATATAATTAATAGTTGATTTTAATTTCTATATATCTTGTATATAAATTTGAATTTCATCAGAATATATTTTATTGCTCAGATTATTGTGTAATTACTTACACACTAACCAATGTGAGTTTAATTTTGTACCCTATCTCCATGAAATGTTTTAAAAAGTAGTGTTTTGTATCCTAAGATGAGGGCTAAATTATAGAACAGAAGCAAATGCATGTCACAAACAGAGTTAGTACTGCATCCCTTTTCTCTTTATTCATCATGTGTTTAGCTTTGTACACAATCAGGTTACTACAGGGCTGGACAATATCTTTATATGCATATGTATTCCTTGTTCCTCTGCTAGAATTCCCAAAATTAATACAGAAAATGTGTATTCTTTTTTCCCCTACTAAAATTCCCAAAATTCTTAAAGTGAAATAAATGTAAAGTAGAACATAAGTTAGAAATATCATAAATCAACTAGGATAAAGAAAGCTGATATATCTGATGCTATTGAAAGCACAATTATTAATTAAAGAAATGAAAATAAAACTAGGCAGAGGTAGAAGAAAGTATCTCAAACTATATATGAATGTGGCATTTTTATAAATCATTTATAGATTAGCTGGCTTTGGCTGAATAGAAAGAAATTGAGATTGTTTTTACAGGTAAATGTTTAATATGAATGTAGAGTCCCAAATCTTTCAAAGATTACTTTGAAATTCAAAAGAAATTTCATTACACAAAATTGGTAATGGACTCTTACTATAAAATTACATAAAATTAAAAACAACACATAGGTTTATAGTATGACATATTGATGGAGTTAGTAACATAAACTGTGGTAACTTTATTTGTGGTATTAATATTTGTACTAATTTAAAAGATAATCATTTATTTTCATCATAATATTACTATCAATAAGCCTTTGAGTTAAGATGGAGTGCAATATTCTTAAACTAAACTTGGCAACTGTGTAATTACCTTTCTCTCTAGGGAGAGGGTAATAAACACAACCATTAATAAAAAATTAAGTGGTCATTTTCAACTCATAAGCCTCAGCTATCGATAGCCTCAGTTGCATCCTCTACAGAAAGAATTCTGCTCCTTTCAAGACACTTTACTAGTACTAGAATGTTCAAAATGCGCTTTTCTCCAGAGGAAAACTTCTGTTCCTGTCAGAATTCTTTGAATTAATTAACAAAACTGGTTTGGATTACATTTTCAGTATGTTTTATGTCCTTAATTGCCTAGTATTTGGTATTTTCTGGACCTTCACATACTTGCCAAATTCCCACTGAGGTATAGATAATTTCCAAATGTTCATTTAGTAAATGATCATTCAGCATCATGGTTTAAAGGTCAAAAAATCATTAAGCTCATAAGACTTAATGGTTAATTAGGCATGATTCTTGGCTTCTATCATTTTGTGGAAGCAGTCACTTGTGATCTGCTAAGTGCAAAAAGGCATATTGTTGAAATATTAACTGGGTAATTGGGGCACAGAATGGAGGGAGTTTGAGGTCAGGGAAATGTTTGTAGAAATATCAGGAGCTGAGTTGTGAAAGAAGGCTAAAGTATCATTGGATGGGCAGAGAAGGAAAGATTTTGCAGGTGTGTTGTGAATGGAAATGCAAGTCAGTTTTTCTAGAACTCAATCCAAGGTCTTGGGGATGGAAGTGAGACTCATGACAAAGAGCTGAGGAAATAAACAAGGGCTAAATCATGGGGTGGAGAAGAAGTAGCTTATATTAAGTTGCACTCATTACCAATTTAGAAACACTGAAGAATTTTATAGTAAAACTAAATATGATCAGTTTTCAGTTTTAGAGAAGTCATTTGGGCAGTAGGATGTGGAGGTATGTGTTTGTCCTTCTTAGCTTTGTTTCCATACCCAGACTAATATGTTCTTTCCTCATATTTTGAAAATTATATCCCTTTCCTACTAGCAACTAAAATGCTAAGTCTTTCACTGAGTTCTTGCCTTACCACGCCACACCATCATCACTGTCATCATTTTGTCTTTCTTCTCTGAACACACATTCTACTTCATTTGTACCAAAATTTACTGTACATATTCTACCTTCAGTTTATTAGTGAGACACAAACCAAAATAATGTGCAGAACTTTGAATGCAGTAATATTTCAGTTAGTGTATTTGAATACATGAATGATTATCCACTTGAAATTTAATTTTTTATTAGAATTAGGTAATAAGGTTGTTCACAAAGCTTTCTAATTTCAGTAGGAATGGTAGGAACAATTTCCACAGACATATCTATTTTCTTTGCTAAAAGATGCCTGTTTTCCAGTATCACAGCTCTGTGCCTATAGTGCTACAATATGCGAAAAATGCAAAAAATATTGTTAGTTTATTATTCTTCATCTGAAAAGAGGTTATAACACAGTGATCAAGTTGAGCTAGAAGGTATTTGTCTAAGCCAATGATGTAAAATATACAATATAATTTTTTTAGGTGTAAATTAGTAACTTAAGGTTAAAAACTTTTCATTTCATAACCCAAGTCTTTAATGCAGGTTAAAATGATAATTATTTAAATATTTACATTTTCTTTATTCAAGTAGCAAAAAATACATATAGTTATAAGAGAATGATTATTTCCTCCATGAAATAGAGAAAATTTAATGGAGACACATTGTGAAAAATTCTCTAATTTTCAGCCAGTAATTTTGGGAAGATGGGAGAATTCTGAGAATCATGGGAAGGGTGCCAGAATTGGAATAGGGAGAGGGGAGATTTCATAAGTAGGATCCACATGCCTCAGAATAATTTCCCCTAATAATTAGCACTGATTTTATATAGCCATATTTTAGATTCTTTGAAATGATTAACCTTTTGTTTATTCCACCTATTTGTAGGGTGAAGATGGCTTTCCAGGTTTCAAAGGTGACATGGGTCTTAAGGGTGATAGAGTAAGTAAAAAGAAGATTTGAACTAAAGCTAAAATTATGTGTGTGTTATATATATATATTTCCTATTTTAACATATAGAGGTGCAGGATAAATAAAATGTCTTTTATTTAAGACTTCGTTTAGTCATGTTTTTATATGAAGATTAAACATTTTACATTTTGTTGAGATAGTATAATATCAGTTATTTTCTAGATATTGTTAACTTTTCATGTTTTATAAAACCCACATACGAACACATATAGATGCTTGTCTGCCTATCCAGATCTAAACATGTTTTAAGATGCATAAATGTATCTTAGAAATCACTTAAAAATATGATTTCTTTGTGTATCAGGGAGAAGTTGGTCAAATAGGCCCAAGAGGAGAAGATGGCCCTGAGGGACCCAAAGGTCGCGCAGGTCCAACTGGAGACACAGGTCCTCCTGGCCAAGCAGGAGAGAAGGTTGGTAACCAAATTCACAGATCCTCCATTGGATGATGCTTCATTGTTATTTTTAAATGTTTTACATCAGGGTTAGAGAGCTAGAAGATTTTGTTAAATTTCAAACATATCCGTATATGTTTTAGAGTATTATCATGAGACAAACACATTTATTGGGGTTTTTTTCACTCTTGCATATTTTTTAGGCACCTCAGCTCTTCTCAGTCGTATAGGATTGGCCAGTCAAAAAGGTCTTCTTCAGCAGTAGATGTTGAAAATTTGAGTTATTAAAAGATGAAAGGATCAATGAGCAATGTGGCCTATTTATTGTTTGAGACCTAGTAGATTCATCTTTGTCTCAAAACAAAATGTACATTTTCTTGTTTTTTACATCAACATATATTTTCAAAGAATAAGCATTATAAAAATAATAAGTTCAGGCCTGTCTTCAAGAGATTTTAATTTTAATCTGGTGTTGATACAATCATATATTTTGAAATATTCCCACATAGCTCTAGTAGTCATTGGTTTGAAAGATATTGGTCTATATGCATCATCTCTAAAATATTTGCGAATATTGCATTTAAATTCTGGTGTAAAAATAGGCAGTATTAAAGTTATTGTTTCACAATATTTAGTGATATGCTTAACTTTTATAATATATTATGAAGTTAATTAAGAGAAAAACACTAGAACTATCTAAAGAAAGTATTGCCCCCATTATGTACACTAAAATTAAATATAAATAATATATCCTGATATTTTAATAGATTTCATATACAGAGATATAGATACATAAATATATTTATTCTACAGTGAACATGCTCTTAATCTGTAAAATAAACTCCATGCTATTTAAGAAAAATGTAATGTTCCCTCCTCAACAACATCTTATCTGAGAAGGAAAATATTTTACATAGTTATGATGTAGAGACTGTGGCTACTCAAATAGAAAATACTTCCTTATGTCATGAGGAATTATCTCACGTGACAATTTTGCAATTTTACTGTTTGAAAAGTTGTCATTTTTTGATTGATAAATAATATAGAATTTAAGCACTGGAAAGAGATTCTGGTAAACAAGGACTTACAACAAATACTTCTATTTGAAGTACTCAGTTGCTGATAATTTAGGGCTGTCCTGGGACGTCTTCTCTTCTTAACTCCACTTTTATGTGTAAATGGTCTCTACAAACTATTCTGAGGAATCAGGAGTTTCAACTATCTCATGATTCTTCATATTTAATATTTCTTTAGTACATATACATTTATTGAAGTTATATATCCCCATATTGAAAATACAAACAAATTTTCTCTCCAGATTTATTTTAAAATGATTCTAAAATACATAAGCATATACATTTTGTTGTAGTAATTAGCAAAGAATATAGATAGCTTTAGGATCATACTTAGAGAATTTCATAAACCTTGCAATCAATGGCATAAAACAAGGTATAATTAAATATCCAAGGCTACATCATTATAAGTGTACTTCATAGGGCCTGTTTGAATATTTTCCATCTGAAGACTGCTTATATCTATGCAGTATTAATCATAACTCTGGCAACTATTCTGTTCAAGCTATAATAAAAGTCTCATAAACTGTCCTTAATTCTTTGCCTTGCTTTATTAAGATTTTTTATTCATAAAATTCTGTTAATCTTTTAACATTTCCTATACTAATTCAGACTTCTGTTTTTTTTCCATTATTATTTTTTAAAATTCACATTTGATGTGATACTTTATGCTTACTAATATTTAAGGCTTTAAAACATAATACTTTATACTACATATTCTTTTATAAGTATCTTATTACAGAAAATAAAGCACACACTTTATAAAGTTCCACACTTTATTCATTTCATATATTTATCTTTTTATTTATTTATTTATTTATTTTTGTTATTAATTTTTTTTTTAATTTTAGGGGAAACTTGGAGTTCCAGGATTACCAGGATATCCAGGAAGACAAGGTCAAAAGGTGAAATATAATTACCTTGATTTTTATAGTTTACCAGTATGTTATAAAAACACTGAAAATTTTTCCTAAAGTTTTATGATAAGCTTAAATTTTGTATGATAGAGAAGTTAAGAACTTGAAATAGAATTTCACAATGGAAAATTGTAGAATGTGTAAGTATCTGGAGTCAAGGGATCTTAGAGAGTGTAATTGATTATGTTGTGGAGCAATTTATGAGAAAAGTCATGAAAGGAGGGCAAAATTTGCAACTGACTTGTAATTGGAATGAGGACTTTTCCAAGGAGGACTATTAGAATATGTTAATGTTATAAAATGGATGATGACTTAGGACAAATAACAGCTTTTGATTCCAATTAAATCTCCTTGAGGGTTTTAATTAGTACTTGATTTTTTTGAAAGAAGAATAATACAATTTTACCCACTTTATTGGCCCTCATTCTGCCAGTATTTGATTCCTAAGACTGACAAAACCAATCACCACAAACTTGACTTAAAACCATGGAAATTTACTTTCTCACAGTTCTGAAGGACAGAAGTCTAAAGTCAAGGTATCAGGAGGGTTTCACTTCCTCCAGTAACTCTAGGAAAGGAATTGTCTTTGCCCCTTCCAATTTCTGTTGGCTTCAGGTGTTGTTGGCTTGAATATGTGTAACTCCAGGCTTTGCCCCATATTTATATGACCTTTTTATTCTTGTTTGTCTGTCTCTTCTCTTCTGTCATTTACAAAGACATTTATCATGGGATGTAGGAACAACCTGAGTAATCCAGGAAAATCTTTCAAGATTTTTAATTTAATTATATTTGTGGAAGACTTTTTTATTTTTATTATCAAAGAGGGTAATCATCTCAGGTTGTAGAGGTTTGGACATGTCGAATCTTTTGCTTTTGGTGAATTATGATTTGACCTAGTATGCCACTGAAATCTCATTTTTTGTTTTGGTTTTGTTTATTTATTCATTTTGGAGACCGGGTGACATTGTGTAGTTCATTCTAGCCTTTAGCCAACTATGTAACACAGGCTGGTCTCAAACTGGTGACAAACCTCCTGCCTCAGCCTCTCAAGTGTTGGGATTACAGGTATACACCACCATCATGGCTGAAATTTGGATATTTGAAATTTATATAGCTCAATTATAAAAAAGATGGCTTTAAAATTTCATGTTTACCTTGGTGTCCTATTGTTTTTTTCTAGCTAATTGTAAAATTTTGCTAAGGCTGCACTTGATACATTTATTATTTACATTAAGGTGGCTGCATGAATTAATATGTAAATGTTGAATACTAGTATTGCAGTCATGCATGCATACTCATGTTTATAGCATGTCAATTACAGCATAGTTTATAGTTTTAAGTATATGTACACAAGGCTCTCTATCTGTATCACTCTGTCTCCCTATCCAAATTTGACCTGTTCAATCATAGCGTAAATCCTAGTTATGTGTATCCTCATATATACATTTATTAATAATTTTCACAGGTAACCAGTGAGAGATACAGTGTCCTCCCCCTGAACAAATGTGATCTCCATGCACTGTGTCAAATCATCATCACATAATAACAGTACTTTAGGTTTTTCTGTCGTGTTGTCTTTTAAGTTTTGAGATTCCAGAAAAATTATTTTTGTGTAGTAGTTTGCAAATATTATAATTTTATCCCTTCTAAGATAAGATTCACACCATCTGTGTTTTTAAAAAATACAAGCATAAATATTTGTCTTTACATAGAAAGTAGTGATTAATAGATTTTACTTTTTAAATATTGTCTCTAATATATTGATTGCTCTGTCATCAGTTGCTTTTCATTCAAATGTGAAGAATTTTCACAAATATTATGAGTTAATGAAGCCATTCACCAAATAACCCATGACCTTTATCTATCCTTAGACTAGTTCATGAATTCTTTTATTTCCCCAATTGAATTACAATTGTAAGGTTCTTTCATTTTTATTTAAATATATAGAAAACTGTCATAATATTACTTGAATAAGTACAATTTTATTTTATGAGCTTATTTGAAATTCTGATCCTTTTTTGGTTCCTCTAAGTCAATTCTCTAATCAATATTACTTGAATTACTTTTATTAGCAAAATGTAACAGAATGACTAAAGAGATGTATTTCTTTCTAGAGGAGTCAAACTTACCCTTTATCCTGAATGCCTGGTATTCTAGTCATTATCTTTTATATTGCTTTTTTCATAACTAAGTATTTTTTAATGATCAAAAAGCTTTTAGGTTTCTCATTTCTAAAGCAAAAATGTAGGGCACATCAAAGATCAAAGATAGCTTCACATTTTTTTCCCTACATGGAAGACAATGAATTTTAAACAATGTCTTGATTATACTAAAAGTGAAATTTGGCTGTTAATCTCTTTGAAGCAATGTAAGGGCTATAATTAGACACTTTAATTTATTCAATGTTTTAGAAGCAATATCAACTTTAATAGGTATTCAAATATGCACCACAAAATGTACTATACGTTAATAGCTGCTTCAAAATGATGTTTATTTTAAATTAGTGTAATTTTATAATTCAAACAGCATTCAAAGTAATTTTGAAAATTTTACATTTATTGACTGAGATAATATCACTATTATCTTTTGACTATCATCTTGTATTTTTGTTTTCTCCATTCAAAAGCAGGTAGGTAGGTACTATCTTTTTATAGAACTTGTGCATTTTCTTAGGATAATTTTTAAATGGAAAAAGGAAAAAATTGATTCCCACATATTATAAACTGCTTAATTGGTACATTAACCTTTTTGTGTTGTTTTACACACAATTTCCTAGAGTAAAAATGATATAAGACAATAAGAGTATTATAAATTTAGGCATAAGAACAATGTGCTTAATTGACTACGTAAGTGTTCCTAGTGCATTCGAATAGATACATAATTAAATATTTGTTGCCAAATAAAATTTGATTCATGTAAATTATTTCCATATTGTATTATACTCAGTGTTAGCTTTTTAGAATATTCACACATTGAAAGTTTATCAGATGTTTTTCTACTAAGTATTATTATAACCTAAGTATATAATATTCACTACTTTGAAATTGGGATAGAGCTAGTTATCTCCCACATGTTGGTAATACTTTATTTTTCCCTATTCTTTCTTACTGTACATGTTTAAGAATCAACTTCCAAGTATTCACAAACATTTGAGTACATATGACCTAAATAGCAGATTCCCAGGGTTTCCCCCCAATAGAATCTTTCAGTTTCAGTAGTTCTGGAGTATGACTTGATAAGTTTTTATTTTTAGCAACACTTAAGATTTTTTGGATATGGAGGAGCCACTCACCACATTACTTTTAGGAGGATAGTTCAGTATAAATGAGTTGATTCAAAAAAGCATGGAAGGTATTGAAGTCAGAGGAGAATGCTTTTTCTCTTATTACAGGAGGTAGTATCTACAAATTTGAATGTCTGTTACCCTCTGCTAGAGACTTTGGACATAATGCATTTAATCCATACAGTATTCTGAGTAGGAAAATTGAATATTTGGAAACCCTCCAACATCTTCAGGCACATCCAGTTAGCAAGTAAGGAATGGGATTTAAACCCTAATGTACTCTTGTTTATTGATTTAATAAAGAAGCAAACCAGTCTCAATCATGATCAAAGGACTCTCTGACATGATAAAAACTTGAGCATATGCACAAAGGGAAGTTATAGGATTTAGTTAATGGATTTTATTGTATTCCATCTGTAAAATGTAGCCAGTTTTAGACTAAATGAAATAATATTTCTATTTAGTACTACATTTGATAATAATCATTATTAATTATCTATTACTACCATTTTGTACCCAACATTCTTTATTCCAGTCTCCCACAAATTCCAAAATAACCATAACATGTAATTACTGCCCTCATTTTGTAGAAGAAAAAATATTCTCAAAGGGATAAAAAATGTACACAACTGAATTTGCTGATATATGAAAGACCTAGGTTTTGAATTTAGATCTTCAGAATTCCGAACACAAAATTTTAGTATTAAAGCTCTGACTTGGACTACCAGCTAAGTGTAATCACATTCAAATGGTAAAGAAAAATGTGGAGGGAGATTTTTCCATGTATATGATTTAATTCAGTTCTAAAAGTTTAAAATATTCAACTAAAAAGTGATATGTACACAAATACAAATTTAACTCAAAAATAGTTATTAATCTCCCTATTTTTATGTTTGACTATTCATATAGATGAAAATATCATTTTTTTTCTTTAGCATTGAATCAGGCATGGAGACTGAGTTAAAATATATTTTACATGAAATTTCCTCTAATGTTATTTTAAAATTAAAAATATATTTGGTTAATTATTTTACTTTTAAAGATAAATACTAAAATATGTTTTATCCATTCATGTTTTCCTGCTTCCAGGATTTCAGATGCCATTGTAAGTTTATTTTCAAATACATAAATGGAGATCATACAGTATCTTCAAATTAAATATATAGTTAATAATTATATTTTCTGACTTAAAAACATCAGCTATTTAAGAATCACTGTTTTCCAGGAAAAGAATCACAACTTATGCCCTGCAAATTTTAATTACCATATTCAATGTTCCATATTTTTATAATTTCAGGGTTCCACTGGATTTCCTGGGTTCCCGGGTGCCAATGGGGAGAAAGGTGCACGGGTATGATAGATAAATACATTGTCCGGAATTAGCTAATGAAAATGTCTCTGCATGAACAGTTGACTCATAATTTACTGTGGTACATTGCATATTGAAATTATTTGAACTGAACTTTCTTAGGGAGTAGCTGGCAAACCAGGCCCTCGAGGTCAACGTGGACCAACGGTGAGCGCCTTTATTTAAACTAGTGATTTTCATTTTGTATTTAGTTTTGCAGAGTAATGTTTTTGTGCCTTTGCATTTGCTTAGCATTGGATTATTTTGTCTTTTGCTCTCATATGCAGGGTCCTCGAGGTTCCAGAGGAGCAAGAGGTCCCACGGGGAAACCAGGGCCAAAGGTACTGTGGGAACTCCTTCCTTTTGATTGTTGCAGCAAATTCCCCTTTTGGAGGATCGATGCAGCCAAAAAGAATCAAAGCTGATTTTTTTCTTTTCTTTTCTCTTCTTTTTTGCTTTTCTTTCTCTTTTTGCTTTTTATTTGCCAGGGAACTTCAGGTGGTGATGGTCCTCCTGGCCCTCCAGGTGAAAGAGTAAGTATGATACAACCTCATAATATAAAATGAAAATTAATATTTTGTGCAGGTGTTTACATTTCTTGGAAGAGATACGTGTACACATTCATCCACAGTTTAAAAAATTCTTCTTCTTTAATTTACTTCTCATATCAATCAAAAGCTTGATTGTTACATACAACTAATTTGTTATGGAAATGAGAGAAATGATGTGTGTAATTAATTTGTCGAAGATATTACATTTAATTTAGGCCACAATTTTTTAAATTCCAAATATGCTTAAAATACCTATACTGTGTTATCCACTTTTCTTGTTTTTTATATAAATACTCAATTTGTTTATGGAGCAAGCAGCAACATTATTCTGGTAAAATGCAAGCTATCAGTGGCCATTAAGCCACAATTGATATACATTTTAATTCAAGATAAAATATTTATTCCAGTAAATAGAAAAACTATTTAATAAATTGATTTTCAATTGATATAAAATAAAGTGAAATAAGATGAGCAAATATACCCTTTGTTGGCTTTTTTGGTATAATGCAACATTTTTATAAAAGCCAAATTTTTGAATGTTATTCTCTTGCAAGAATTTTAAATAAAGATGTCTGTATTATATTGAAAGAAATTAGAATCATTTCTTATTATTCTATAATATATTTCAATATTATGTAGTCATATTAATACATTTTGGAATATCATTATTTGAAGCATAGTGGTTATTTAGTGAAAAGAAAACAAACATCTTGTAATATATTTTTTTCAAAACTGGGAATGAGTAATAGTTGTTGAGTAAGAAGCAATGAGTAAAACTTAATTCTGTTTGTGACAAAAATGTAAGTAGATAAAACACAATATTAAACATTTACCTAGAGTTACTGTATGGTTTTTGCACATATTAATTTAAACTTTTAAATTTATTTATTTGTGTGTGTGTGCTTTTTTTTTTGTCTTTTTTTGGTTTTTCTTTTTAATTCAGTAGGTTTATTGGTCCATTTAAGGTACACAATACGATGACGTTCATCATTGGGAATTTGTACCTTTACATGATATATCTTGGTTCTTATTTTTTTCCCCATTCCTCTGCCCTCCCTTCCAACCCTCTGCCCCTCCCTAAACAAAAATCTTTGTTTCCATTTTTTTCCTTTTCTCATATTTATTCCTGTCCCTTCTTTCCTTTCACTTATGAATAATAGATAATGTGAAATAGGAAGAAAAGGTCCAAAGGAGAAGGGGAAGTAGGAGATGTAAGGGAAACTTTCAAATTTATTTTCATTCTTGATGGACTTTTTCCAAATTAAGTCCATTCATCCTGTACATTTTGAATTCATAAATAATACATATATTTGATTGACTTTGTGGTTAAAACCATTTTAATAAGAAGATACAGTTTAATTAAAATGGTTGAATCATGATGTAGAGCCCAACAATATAAAAAAGTACAGCACAACTGAGGTTTTTTAAAGCACAAACCATTCCCTTTTTATGTGATTTGTTTATGCATTCCAAAATTTCATAATTAGTTGTATCACTTTAAAGTAAATGCCCTTTTAGTGATACTACATTTTAATTTGGAAACAATAATGTGACCCACCAGTGTGATTACTATAAGTATAAAAATTCTTTGAGAGTGAGAAAAGTACATTTTGTGAATCAAAGAAAAATTGTTTTGTTTTTAATTCAGAAAGATGCATTTTCAATATTAATAGATTTTCCATTTATATATAGAAAGAACATACTTTCTATATTCTATCTAGTAGATGTTACCTTTCTCCTAATCTGCCTTCATTTACTTGAAAGGAGTTTTAAATATTTTGACTATTTTAGTTTGTCTCTTAAGCATACAATTTGAAGAATATTTGAAGTAATACTACATCATATTTTTTTCAAAATATATGAATTGGTAGGTTCAGGGAGAGAATTTTGTGATAACATTAAATTAAAAATTACAATTCTTATTTTTGATTATTTCAAAGGACTCCTTTAATAACATATGAATATTTAACTATATATGAATATATGTATTTTTATTAAAGATTCTGCAAATTAAATGTTATCCTTCATAAAGATGATTTGAAGATAATATGTACTTGTCATTAAAATTAGTTAATATAGCTTGCAATTGGTTTTTAAATTTCCAGACTTATCAAGATAAGTAATAAAAATAAAGAACCAAAATATCTAATTAAATTTCAATTTTACATAAGCATTGAGTAACTTTGGCAAAACTATGTCATTTGTAGTAATTAATGCATTTTAAAGACTATTCATTATTCACCTAAAATTCAAATTTGGCTAGACACTGGATATATTATCTGCTGACCCTAGTTGGTTTCCAATACAATATTTATACTGAGTCTTTAAATACTTGTTTACCTCACCCAAAAACTCTAGTGGATCCACTTTATCTGTCAGGTTTTTGTCCCAAGCCATGGGTGCTTGAAACAGCTGACATTAGTGGACCTTATAAAATCTGTATTTTTCCCTATACGTACACATATACATATGGTTAAATTTAATTTATCAAGTACAGTAAAATATTTATATAACTAATAATAAGTAGAATTTAACATACTGTAATACAATTGCCAGCACCACTACTTTTATTCTGTAAGGCCATTATTAAGTAAAAGAAGGGTTACTGGAACATAACCATTGGAGTACTGACAGGGCATCCATAACTGAGACAGTTACTAAGACTAATGAGTGGCTAGTGTATATACCTTGGATATGCTAAACAAAGTGATGAAGGACATGTCATTTTTGTTGTGCTACTTAAAACAGTTCACACTTTAAAAATTATAAATTGTTTATTTCTGGAATTTCCCATTTAATAATTTCAAAGGAGGACTAATTATAAGTAACTGACTGCAGAAAGTGAAACTGAAGATAAGGGGGCTATTATATTTTAATACAAAAAGAAAATGTGAACATTTTTCTTGGAATTTCAGAAAGCAAGACAGTTTTTTCTTCTTTATTTGCTCTGAAGTAGTGATTTTGAAAATGTTTCTTTCTTAAAGAAATTTAAATTAAAAAATATAGATTATTAAAATTAGCTATATTTTATAAAGCAAAGATATTTTAGGAAATTAGAAAAGTAGAGTTTGCCACAAAATAAAATATGATCTTAAATTTTTGTATGTAAAATGATTTTTAAAGTTTTCTTAAGGTATTATATTTAAGAATTATAGTTCTGTAGTTTAATGTCAATTTAAAAAGTGTATAAATTTGTAAAATATGCCTATTGTTTTGTTAATTTTATATGCTACCTTTTTAAAAACTACATGAAAAAATTTGAGCCTTTTTGTTTGTTTGTTTTGGTGGCAAATTTTCACATTTATTAAAGGTATGAAAAACCCAGAAGAAATGGGGAAGGATGGGCTCCACATAGCGAGTCTGGGCCAAGTAAAAAGGGAGGAAAAAATAAATGTAAAATACATACCCTACAGTATAGGGTGGGATATCTTGAAAAGATACTATAGCCTCTTTTTTTTTTATTTTAAGATGTTAATAGTGACAAAATTCTGGTGATATCAGGACTAGCCTTGACAGTAGAATGACAATGAAATTTTCCTTGCAAAGGCTAAACTGATATCTCAAAAAATAAAATTCTATCAAAGCCCATTGTTAGCAAACTTCATTTTTATTAGAAAATACATAAATCCTACCCTAATTCCATTACTTATGAAACTGTATTTCTATTATATTTTATTTTATATATCTAGTTTGTAAATACAATGACTGTTCTGTGCCAATATAGGATTGTCTTTTACCCGTCCTTTCTGTCAGCAATACAATCACTGTTCTAGGGTTTACTTTATGCTACTTAAGGATATATAAGGATGAAATTTGAATACTATAATTCATTAAGCATCAAGCCAAGAATGATACATGTTTAGATTGAATGTTAATGAGAATAATTATACAATAAGCTTCTTTTATTTTTTCTATCAAAGAAGTTTATACATTAAATGAGATATTGACATTCTCAAAAATAAATATATTTTAAATAGACTAGTGCAAGGTATTTTCTATCATTTTTTTTTTGTACCAGGAATCGAACTCGGGACCTTGCTCTTGCAAGGCAGGCGCCAGAACCACTGAGCTAAATCCCCGGCCCACTATCATTTTTTTTTTAAACAATCACTTATTTCTCACTTAGTTATATCTGACTAGAGCCAGAACATATTTAGAATCGATTTTTTTGAGTAAGTGGTGCACTTTGAGACCATAATTTTAAGTGAAATAAATCAGACACACAAGTTTAAATATTGCATCGTTTCCCTTGTGTGAGAAACCCTAAGGGTAAACGAGGAGCAAAATGGATGATAGACATTGGAAAGCACAAAGAACATATTCAAACAGGAAAGGAAACAACAGGGTGGGGCAGGGGAGTGAGGGAAAAGAGTTTTAAAAAAAAAAGAAAATGGAAGGGAAAAAATGGAAACAAAGCTTTTGTAAATGAGGAGGGGAAGGAGGGAAGGGAGGAGAATGGGAAAGAAAAAGATTAAAATATATTTTCTACAGGTAAAAATTCCCCATGATAAATGTGATCTTTGTGTACTGCAAATATATTCTATATAAAAAATAAACAATAAAAAGATTAAAAATTCTTCGTCAATTATTGTCATTCTGGAATGCCATAGAAGTGAATTGAAATATCTTCTCTTTTGGCTTAGAATATTTCCAGCCAATATTAAAAGTAAAAATAAAAAATTCTGTAGTATTTCTCAACTCATATATATTCTATTTACTTTTTATATGATCTCTAAATATTTAGTCTTCCAGAAATAAAAAAAGAATAGTGTGAAGTGCAATTTTAAATAGTGACAAATCTATTTGCTTTGATTTTAACAACACTCATCATTTTGCACTTCATAACTGTCACTATGGTTAAGAAGTTGAATACTACATTGCATTTTACCTATAGAAATAAAATACAGCATATAATAATGTATCATTTAAGACATACTGTTAATTTTTTTCCTCTGCTTTTTTTTTTTTTTTAGGGTCCTCAAGGACCTCAGGGCCCAGTTGGATTCCCTGGACCAAAAGGCCCTCCTGTAAGTGTCATAGTTTCTCCTCTCTTCCTTCCTTCCTTCCTCCTTCCTTCCCATCCTTTCTCTCTTTTTCTCTCTCTCTGTCTCCGTTCAACAATATTTCTATATTTCTGAGAGTCATGGGTTATATTTTAAATAAGTTTTATATGTAAATATTGATAAAATCCCTGTAAAATAAAATTGAAGTAAAGGTCAAGAATAAATTTTCAATTTATGAAGTTTACAGATTATTTTGAATATAATTCAAGCTTCTCTGATTAAGTGTTCTTTTAAAGTACATCAAAGACCTGAACAATATGAATACTATTTTTTCAACTACTCTTCTATTACAAAGTGCTTATTGTTAATGACATTAAAATTGTTACCACATATTAAATATTTGGTAAGGTGGAATTTCCTTTTATTTTTCCATCTCCAAAGAGAATCCTCCATTCCTATTTAATTATAATTTCCTAAACACCCTCCAATATTCTGGTACTACTTATGTAACATTAAGATTTATTTATTCAAAATGTTTTTGTCTCTACAATCATTTTCCTTAGGAAATGCAAAGGTAATTTTTGTTCAATAATATCCTTTCTATAAAATTTGTTTAAATCAATTCTCTCCCTCTCTCTCTCTCTTTAACTTTTGAGACAGGGTCTCACTATGTAGTTCAGGCTGGCTTTGAACTCACTATGTAGCCCAGGTTGGCCTCGAACTTGTGATGATCTTCCTGCCTCAGTCTCCAGAGTACTGGGATTATAGGCTCACATCCGGTTGATATGTACTTTTTTAATATCATTATAAATATCTTTATAAAGTTAATTGAAGAACTTCATTTTCATCCTTGTATATTCTTTGACACAGAGCAGACTTTGTTTTCTGTTCTTTTTGGGGGTGGGGGCCTATTTAGTTTCTTTAAACTAGAATCAACTTACCCACTTTTGTACTACAGAGATTCTTGGAATGCATTCTGTGGCCCAGCAGTGTCAGCAGCATCTGTTGCATTGTTAGAAATGCCGTCTCACATTTCCTAATCAAAACTCTGTAGAGGGACCCAGTTTGTGTTTCAGCAAATGCGCCAGATAGATTTGATACATGCTAAAGTTTGTGTACGATTCCGCATATCTGGACTAGACAATATGGCCCAAACTTTAATGAACACACAAATCAATGGTGAAGTATTTACTTTGAAGTATGAATGCATATTAAATATTGAATGATGAGGTAATCTCCACTTTTTTGCAATAATTTTTGACACCGTTTAACACTGAACAGTTCTGTTTTATTACTTCAAACATATCAAGAAGAGATCGTTATCTCTAGTACAGAGGAGGAACAACACTAATAAGCTGTTATTAAATGTAATGCTGATACTAATGGCATATGATTTTTAACCACAAAGTTTTTGTGCAAATGTCCTGTTCAGTCTGTGCTAAGTCTCATAAAGAACCAAAAGCAAAGTTCCTAAAGTGATTGTACATATATTTTCTGATAAGCATTTCTGTATTTTAAAACCATGTGCATAGATTATGACTAACCCCTAAAATTCCATCAAGACATATGACCTCAATATTATCATTTATATTTGTATATATTGTTCTGAATTGTTTCCCTTGTCTAACATATTTTTGTTGTCAAAGAAAGCCATTGACTAATTTTCCTTAGACGTTTTTCAGTCTGTCGCTCATGTATCTTTCAACATGATGTGAGCTATTGATCTTGCACTCATTTTGTCTCCAAGAAATATCAAAAATACAATAAAGCCTATACCTAAAAAGCATGCAGTCTAATAGGAAAGACATGACACTGATAAGAAACATTACTTTTGCTGTTAAATGAAATACTGCACTAATATGTAGTTTTATAAAATTTGGGATAAAAATGCCCTCCTCACTTTGAATTAGAAGAAATTCAGGTGGAGGGATAGAACTGATGGTCCCTCTACAAATTGATTGTTTTATCATTGTACTTGAAAAAAAATGTATACACAGATAGACATATAGATTGAATACTTGGAATGTTCCAATTAGATTCTGTCAATCTCATGCTGATGCTTCTATATTTGAACAGTATGTAGTCATCTCCCCTAAGAAAAATTCTAGTTTGAAGTGATTAAAATTTATAGCATGAAGCAAATTGAGAAATAGTGTTCTGTAAGCAGTCTTTTTTTCATTCTTGTTACATGTTTGGATCACCACTAGAGGACACCATTTTTCTCTGTTACCTGTATTTCAATGCACAGAGAAATGAGTTCTGAACAGATAACAATAAAAAGGGAAAAGTATTCATTTGTCAAGTACTGAACTAACGTTTTTGAAAACATAGAAATACTAACACATGCAAATATACTTTTAAAAGATAAGCGCAACTGAAATAAATTCGTTTAGTATGTAACGTTTAAAACAGAACTTGTTTTTTTAGTCTCAGTCATAGCTATAGAGTTATGTTAAATGGATTTAAGTGCATACTACCATATATAGAACATCTGAACATTAAAATACAATGAAATACAAGAAATAATTTAAAATATTTATATTGTAAAATAATTCAAGCAATATTTAAGACATAAGTTGTTTTATATTTGTGATTTCAGGGTCCACCTGGAAAGGATGGGCTACCAGGACACCCTGGGCAACGAGGGGAAACTGTAAGTAACTCTGTTTTTGGTTGAAATTTTCTCTCTATAGTACTTCATCAGTCCACAGAAGGTTACTTCATTGTTGCCAGTTAAGCTATCAGTCTGAGAACAATGGAGGAAGAATTCCATTGAACCTTTTATTAAAACCTATAAACAAATAAATAAATAGACTCACCTTTTGTATCTGAAAATATAGGATGTTGATTGAAATTGTTCTCATTAGAAACACCAACACTTTAAGAATGAGCTAATGGGAAAAGCCCTATTATTTTTTTAATTCCTCCTTAAGATTGTCGCCTTGGCCCTTTCCTTGGAGTCTATTTAAGTCCATCCTATCGGGAACTATCACATCCACCCCATCAAATGGAACCACTCTACTATAAGACATGCACATAATATAACATTCTTCTGTCCAGAAGTAAAGGATGAGATATTTGCTGATTTTGGATCCAAAAAGGTATATTTGGTCTGGAATATATTGGTTGAAAAATATAATTTAATTTTATTTTAAACTCTAAGGAATATAACATTAAACAAATCGATCTAATAACATCATAGGTAGGATAATTAGGCAAAAGAAAAATTTGCAGTTCCTGTATAGCTTAAGGATTCTGGTGAGTTTATTTAGCTACATTTCAAATCTGCTATCCCAGTGGACTGTTGTTCTATTCAGAAATGCTCCTAGGTTGGCATGTTCCAATTCTAGGTTCTCACTATTGGGTAACTTTGTTCAGATTTCATGAGGAAGCTGCAATACAGCATCCCTTTGACTCCATGGTACAAAATCACTTTAGAGCATTCTACCAGCCTGACAACGTAATTCTGAAATGATCAAATATGTGATAACAAACCTTCAAATATTATTAATTCTCTGCTATGGGAGGAGCAAAGTGTTAATAACCCAATTACTGTCTCAGTCAATGTAGGATAATTCTTAGCTTAAAAACTTAATGTTAGCCAGGCTATAGGCTTCAATATCATGGCCTTCAAATGCAGAATCAAAAATGAACTAATGTGACCAAAGAATAAAATTGTTGGAATTTCCTCTTGGGAATGATAGTTACATAAGAAGAAAAAATGAAGTCTTTAAAAAAAGATCCATACTCAAATTTGAAAATGTAGTTTTATTTAAATTTTGTAGCCATTCATGTTTTACAAAGTCATATATATTTGGGGGAATAATTCTAAACTATTTTCATAAAGTGTTTTGAAGAGTAGATACCTAAAGAATTACCACATAATTGGTAAATTTGTCTTCAATTTAATTAATAGTTTCTGTTTCTATCCAAAGCAGCCATATCATATATAACATTTAAATTTAAACAAAGATGAAAAATAGCAGATTAGCTAATGCTTCTAGGAAGAATGTTTCTATCTATTGTTTTCTCATAGAAAAGGCCAGAATTATTTCTCAAAAATTTTATTCCTGGTGTCACATCCATTATTAAGTGAATCACCCAACAGCCAGGAACTCTTCTCTTTCAATTTATCCATGCTGAATGGAATTGTAAAGATTTCATTGTTCAAGAGTTAGAATCTAAAACTGGCTGAGATTTTTACATATATGTTATCTAATTTCCAAGAAAAAAATCTTCTATATTTGATATTTATATTTTATATATTTTATTTTGTATATTTTATTTTTATATTTACATGATTTTTACATTTTGTATTTGAGCTTGTCCCCCTTCAGATATCCTTCATGATTTCTCTTGATTTCTTACATATTGAAGCTTTTAAAGTCATGCAGGAAATATTAGAAATAGTTTCTATGACACTGAAACAACCCAAACCTTTCTGAGACATGGTGTCAAATCCAATATTGATATTAAAATTAATTTAGTCCTTTAGAGATTATTAGAATAAGAATACCATTTCTACTGAGTTTAGCAGAAGATTTTCCAAACTAACCTATACATCTATTAAATTAATTTCTGTTTTCAGGGAGTTTAAACAACATTACATTAACTTATTCTAAAATTAAATGGTAAATGTAGCATTACTATAGATAATATCAAATAAACAAACTTCATTTTGAACTATAAAAATTTTACTGTGCACAATTTATCAGACTCCAATCATCGAATATATTAGATACTTGTAAACACTCAGTTTCTTGAATGAGCAGACCTGAAGCAGAGCTCTTTCAGATCTTATCAGCTGTACAAGTGGGCTAGCAGCTAAACTTTTTCTCTTTCCTTTTAGGATGCATGTGTGGGTTGTAAATTGTCTATAGACCTTGCTCAATTAACTATTGATTTTTAATAAATTCATTTCAGTGAGTTATTACTATAATTATTTCTGTGAGATATTCTTGCTGTCATAGTGACTAAGAAAAAAAGCTTTATAAGATTTTATTTATTTTGTTTTAAATTCAAAGTTGCATTTATCCCTTCAAATCAAACTTGAAGGGTAATCTAATTAGAGGGAATACATTGTACAAATGAGATGTGTGGTACCAGAGAAAGGTGAGAAGGTGAACATGACTAGAATCTGAAATACATTTCCAAATCAAAGTTTGTGATGGAGGTTGCAGACTGGGCTGAGATTGTTTTGAACTTCCTCAGTGATATTGTTTGGCACTGTATGTTGTTACCAATAAATTGATTAGATTTGCTTATGTAAGATGATAATCCTGTCTCATGTAAACAACTAAGTAAACCTGATTTGAAAAACTTGATCATCAAAGAGATCACAGTGTGAATCATACAAGTCTACTAGACAAGAGAGAAGAAGTTGTATTTTGAAAGAGTTCCTCAGCTGACTCTAGGATCAATGACCAAGTGAAGATCCAAATTAAGCCTAGGATATCAAATTATTTTTTTAATAAAGGGAAACAACACAAGAGGAACATGAAGACCGAGGGGACATTCAAAAAATTACTTTGAGAATATTGAAGAAAGAGTATCTCACCGAACTAGAAATGTCCAGTAGGTACTTACTGACTTTTAGGGTTCAACACAGAGATTTAGAAATCATCTGGAACAGGTAGACTATTTTACTAACATAGAGGTAAGAATGGAGGTTTTTGGCATAATCCAGGAAGTAGTATATGTGTGTATTTGTGCTCGTAAACACATATATTAGACATGCATACATATGTGTTTACTGTGTGTCTATATAGATTTGTAAATCTGATCAGCAACCTGTGAGCTCCTGAAAAGATAAAATAAGCAAACAGCGATTTTGATTTTAAAATGTTAAATAAATTTTAGGATAATTTCTCTCAGCTTTAATTGATTTTGCTATTGATAATAACAGCTTATGTGGAATCTGGATGTTCTTAAAAATCAATCAATTAAAAAAAATCAATCAATTTTTAAAATACAAGAAATCAGTTTTTTCCCTGTAACATCAATTATAATACTTATAAACACACATTTTTTCCTTTTATTTGCTTATAAAATTTTGTTCCCTTAATTAATTCAATCATAATCGTCTGGAAGGTTGTGGGACTACTAGTTTCTATTCTTTCCTGCTAACTATTATTTCTAGGCTGGTTATATGTTATAGTGAATAAATTTTTTTGGAAATACTGTGGTTTTATTTCTGTTCTTTGGAAGTTTCCTCTTGGTATTCTTTTTTCTTCTGTAATTGTTAAATGTAATTTAGCTCATATGAAAATAATTTATCTGTTCTAATACAATTTTACAGAATGAGTAATCTATGAGTAGCCCAGAAAAATGTAGATACTAAGTATACTCCCAAAAGCTTCACATTTTCTTTATAATATTTTATATTTTGTTTTATTTTATGAGATTGTTGAACTGAACTTGAAAGAAATGAATAAATATCACATACTACAGATTTTCACTGTATAAAGAATCAGTCAGCTATTTTAAGTAATACAGGAAGATTATCATTTATTTCATCCATAAACATTGGTCATTTAAATCCTCTATGTTGTTTGATCTTGTGGAATAGTGTTAAGGGTGTATTTTTACTTCAGTTTCATTGTATAATACTTATTTTTTTAAGTTTGTGATAGTAACCATGACATTATAATGTGAAATAGTAAAGACAACAAAATTTCAATTAAATGCTGGTGTATAACTCACACTTGAGCATTTGAACAGAATTATTTTTAGCCAAAAAGTGACTTTCAACATGAATTACTAAACTATCTCACAGAATTTAGATTTATGTTTTCCTTGTGTATAGCTTTAACAGATTCTACTTTGTTTCCTTAGGGGTTTCAAGGCAAGACTGGGCCCCCTGGGCCAGGAGGTGTTGTTGGACCACAGGTATTTTTATTAATTTTGTTAGCAAGATTTATATTTATGTTATATGTTCACCTTACCTGTAAAATCTGTTCATTTTGTTGTAACTCAGAATGTATATTGCCAATCTCAAATGAAATTTAGCAATTACGTAATTAAAGCTGTTTTTGAATTGCTTGTATTAAGAAAGAAGAATAAACAATGAAAAATGGATCAGAAAATCCACAATGTATTTCACTGGAATGTCTAATCGTGGTGCCACCTACTTTTCACATGTATATATTTTTAAAATCTAAAATTCTTTATTAAATAGACTGGGAATTCAAAATTAAAATTACAAAATTATTTCAAAATTTTGAATATAAATTAAGTCTAGAAGTATAGTAAAAACAAAATATAAACATCTTAATATTATATTTTAAAAATTTAGTATTTGTAGCAATATATTTTATGTTTCTTAAGATTTTTTGTCTTCATAACAGTTATATCAGGGATAAAATATTAGCTTGTTTTCTTTGAGCATATGTGAAATATTTGCAAAGACAAGTGTGTGTTTCATGGTAGGTGGCAGAAATTCTCAAATATTGTACCAATATTTGAATTACGGAATTACATAGCCATAGATAATAACTCATGTGAATAGAAAATAATGTTTTTATTCTTTGACAAAACATGTTGAGGGGACAGAACATTTTTAGTTGTTGGAATTTTACTCCAATTACTAAAAACATAGTAAAAGAGAAAGGACATTTGGGCAAGAGTTTAATTGTTTTACATAGTCTTTTCTGCACCTATAATTAGTTCTCAATGTTTTGCAACTTATACACACAAACGTGCACATCCAATAATACATGCACACATACAGAGAAATAAAATCTACATCTACTTTCTAGAAATCTGTGTAACAGAGCAAAAAAGAGTGCTTGGATTGGGTGGTCATTTTATTTCAGAGTATAATTCCTCAACTAAAAGAAAATTTTAACAGTTCTTATATAAAGGAAATATAGCATGAGTGTAAGCATGCATACATTTTTGTGCTCTAGATTCTTCTGGACTGCTTTCCAATTATAATTATATTTATCATATATATAACCTATATATGATATATATCTGGTGTTTGTCACTTTCTTCATTGCTGGGGTGTGATACCTGTCACCAACAAATAAAAGGAGGAAAGGTTTATCTTAGCTTACAGTTCATAGTCAGCTGGTTCCAAGACAGGGTAGCACAGCAGAGAGCTGCTCATGCCATGGCAAACAGAAGTGAGGGAGCCAAAAAAAGGAGCCAAGAAGGGAGATAAACCTTTCAGGCCACACCCCTAGTGACCCACTTCTTCCTGCTAGACCTTACCTTTTGCAGCAAATCAACTGCAGTATTATCCCTCATAATCCAATAACCTGAAAGCCCCACCTATGAGCATGTGATGCTCTTGGAGGACATTGCCAAAATTTGGAGCACATGTGTTCTTTATCCAAAAGCAAAATGTAAAAAATATGTTGCAGTTTTAGAAAATAACTGAGAACACTATTATGCAAGCAACTTCAGTAAAAAGTTCTACTGTTTAGCAACCATAGCATCTGGAATTTTTCCCTTTATATATTTTCAAGTTAAATCCTTCATTTTGCTTTTTATTCTAAGTGGAGATAGAGAGCAACTGGTCACCATTCCCTATTTATACTTGAAAGCTTATTATACTCTAGCCCCACAAAACAGCACGACTTGGGGGACACATAAATGACCTGGCATTTTTCACTTTGGCATTTGCTGCAATTTACTGTGGCTGGCTATTTGTTATAGCCTTAGGCCTCAAAGAACTGCTGGACAAAACTTACTGCCATCAGGATCCCCCTGCCACATTCTTTCGACTTCTCATATGAATATAAATTATCAATAGGGAAGTTTCTAGTTTTTGGAAACTCCCAGGAGAACCACTTCTGTTGTTTGGGTTCCCAAGGTCCTAGGCTTATTATCAAGCAGTGATTCATTGAGTACCTGACACCTTGGCACCAGTAACTCTTCATCCTTAAGCTAATTTGACACCTTACATAAAAAGGAATGTGATAAACTGTAGTTATAAAACAAAGTGTTTCTTTGTTTTTTCTTTTTCTTTTTTACTATGGAATTGGACTGGCCTCATTCTGAAGCAATTCTGGTATTAGACAAAGAAAATATCTTTGTAGACTATGCACTTCCCTTGTACCCTTGGCTATTATAATTATGATTATGTATTATTTTTTCAGACTTTTGCCAGAAGGCTACTTCAGTGCTTTATAAAAAGACATCATGAAAATAAATGACAATCATCATCTTTTGTGAAAATGAGCAATATTTGAGTTTGTATTCTATTTGCCTAAAGTAAAGAAGCAATGTACTGCGGTTTTGCTTGTATAATTTAGGGACCAACCGGTGAGACTGGCCCAATAGGTGAACGTGGGCATCCTGGCCCTCCTGGCCCTCCTGGTGAGCAAGGTCTTCCTGGTGCTGCAGGAAAGGAAGGTGCAAAGGTACAACATGAGACTCTATATTTTGTCAATATTTAAATTAGAATCAGGAAAATATTTAGTGTAACATTGTTGTACTTCAAAACATTACTGAATAATAATAATATATAATACCAGTTAGCTTGCTGACCATAAAACCATTTAATGATATAACCCTTTAAATCTAGATATTATTTCATTTTAATGTGTATGTCATTCCACACAATATTCCTATTATCAAATGATATTAAAGTTTAGCAGTAGATTGGAGGTAGTCACAATTTTGTTCATAGAAATGTGTATGACTGATGTGTATTATATTTTTTAGGGTGACCCAGGTCCTCAGGGTATCTCAGGGAAAGATGGACCTGCAGGATTACGTGGTTTCCCAGGTGAAAGAGGACTTCCTGGAGCTCAGGTACAATCAATATAAGGGTAAAGAAAGTGAATGGAATTTCTTATTAGATGCATTTTCTTATACCTTAACTAAAGAGACATGAGTAATTAAGAGAATATACATACATATGCATTTGATTATCATTTAATATCATTAAATTTATGTATAAAGTATTTATATTTCTGTCAGGAAATATTGCCTGGCATCCTCTTTTTATTAATCATACATCTCCTATTTATATTCAATTCACATTTATTCATTTTTCTTTGATTTTTGCTTTGCCCAGGGTGCACCTGGACTGAAAGGAGGAGAAGGTCCCCAGGGCCCACCAGGTCCAGTGGTAAGTATGGTGATAATAAATAGCTATGCTATCTATGGTTGCAAATTACAGCTTTTTTCATTACTCTCATGCTGTGATCCCACAGCGTGGGAGAGAAAATAAACACATGTCAATCAAATTCGTCAGTGCCTGGTTCCTACTAATTGCATGCACTAATGAGTACAGAAACAGAAGGGTTTAGATGATTGGGAATATATGCTCATGCTTCTGTCAGAAGGTAAAAAGATCTATATTGCTTCTGACCATTACCAGTGAAATAAATCAATTATGAATAATAGAAACTCATGGTCATGGAAGGTCTGAAGAGGATATAGTTTGCATTATTTTATTTCATTTATCTTTTTCCTTTCATTTAAATAATTTTTTAATATTCTGTCATTTATTAGAAAACAGACATAATGTGTCAAAATACTTGATGACACTTGCATTTGTTAGTGATATAAAAACATTCCATAAACATGAAAATGTACCATCTTGTACGCTATCCATATTCCTTTATCCAACCAGTAAAACATTGTGAGATAATTGGCAATGAGTAAACATTACTATTTTACTTTAGCTTTTCATTTCTTTTTTGTCAACTTTCCAAGAGATATTGAATGTAGTCTTCATCTTTATCTACAAATTCACTTTTGTTGCCACTGATTCTCTGAAAGGTCACTATGATAGTTAACAGCCATATTTACTTGTCTTTTCTCATTCTTGGTCTTATTTGCCCAACCTGAACATCTGAAAGTTGTCTGAAAACTCGTTTTCCATTTTCATGCACAGTATGTTGAAGTCATGATAGTTCTGCCTTCAAAATATTTCTTTAATTTTTCCCTTTTGTCTTTATTTTTGCCACTATCCACTTTTTTCAGAGTCTTTCCATTCTCTCCTTGACTTCTAATGTCTTAACTGATATCCTTGACTCCGATTCTTACTCCTTCAGTCAGTCTTTTCATTACTTCTAGATTTTATTTTAGTTCAAAATGCCTCTTTAAAACTATGCTGCTCCTTTGCTTCTGCCTATCTCATGTCTGTCTCCACAGTGCCTTTAGAAACCAGACTCCTTCTCATGGCCAAATGTCATCTTCACAATTTGATACCAGTCACGATTGCCTATTTTATTTTCCTTAATACTACCTTTAATCCTATTTAATGCTCTGAACTTCTTGGGCCCCAACCACCATGTTGTCTTCTATTTTGAGAGAAGATATTTTATACTTTTCACTTTCTTTTCTTAAGGTCCATTTTTCCTTTTTTTACTTGCCAAAATTCTACTCCGGTATAGAGATAAAGCTGTGATGTTTAGTCTCCATAAAGTCCCCTGTGAGCATCTTGTTGGCATTTATGTATAGTGAAATTTATCCCTTTTCAGTGCTCTTTGTTATGACTTCTACTTAAGAAATTGCCTTGAGATTTGATTGGTTGTCTCTCTCATTAGTCTCATTAGTCTGTGACAGTATAAATAATTTTGAAGAAAAAAAAAACACGCCAAAGACTAAACAGCACTATAAGTTGATTGATGATTAACATTTATTATTTGTATGCCCAGCGACAGAAAAGAAATAACATTGGGAAAAGAAATCAATAGAAGGTTCATGAAGAAGGTGGCTCTTGAATTGTCTTCACAGAGATTACAAAACTATTTAAGAGCAAAAACATATTAAGAAAATTATGGTGCTTAAGGAAGCTTGGCTTAGAAATGTAAGACAAGCATTGGGAAAAAGGACTAGCATTTGTTGAATTCTTGCTAGGAACCAGCCACTCTGCTAAGCATTTTGGATCATGTAAAGCTAAAGTAGAATACGGTGGGGCATATGATTACTGAAACTCGAAAATGGGAAGCTGGAGTAATTTGAATATTTGAAGTTTTTTAGAGCAAATAGATTAAAATAAATAATTTAAGGAAAATAGAATTTTTCCTTAGTGAATAAAAATCAAGATGGGGAATACTAAGTGGATATGAAAGTTTAGTGACTAATTTCATAATATCATAGTGAGCCCGGGATTATGGCAGGGGGGACAGTGTGCCAGAGAATGGCCCAGGTTAACAAACACTGAGAAAATGGGATGGTAGAATCTATTACTAAGATTAGCTATGGGATGTGAAAATGATGACATCATGCTTTTGTTTTGGAAGGAATGAAAGTTTAATGATACCTTCCATGCCTAAAATAACTTTACTTCTTTGCAACGACAAAGAAAAAACACAAAACATTCATTCATAGATAAAACTTCAGAACCTCTTTTCAGTCACAATTTTTAAAAGCTTTTATTCTTTCCTAAAATAAATCTTGCATATGTACTCATTTTGAGTTTATTTGGAATTAATTCTGATTCTTACAAAAATTTACATATTATATTTTGCAGGCACCAGACAATTAAAATAGTTCCTCAAAATTGTTGGGGGAGAACCCACCAAAAATAAAGACACCATCTCTGAGTTATTCCTGTAATTGCTTTAAAATACAGTGAAGAGCCTCATGATGATGACTCTTAGACCATACAAGTGCTCACAGCCTCAGTTCACTATATTTAATCATTGAAATAGAAAATTTGATTTTGAAGTTTTTTTATTCCAAATGATAAAGATTAAAATAAAAAACCCTGATTTTTTAAATGTAAGCTCTAACTAATCCTGTAAATTTGTCTGTGTTTACTTTTATTTTTGATAGTTAAGACCTTATAGTAGCTATTCAAACTATGAAATCAATAATTGTGATTTCTTTTTTTGGGTGGGGGTAATAATTGTAATTTCTTTAACAAGAAAGGTAGTAAGTATTTTCCAGTGTTGGTCAAAAAAATAACAGCAAAATATCAGAGGGAAATATCTATGAAGGTAGAGAACAATGATCAAATTATAAGACATATGGAATGGAGGTCTGAGAATATCTTATAGAACTCTGATTTTATAACAGGCAGGCACAAACATATCAAACTCAAATTAACTTTACCTTTCACTTATTGAACAAATAAAGGTAAATATAGAAGAAATTCACAGAACAGAGAGAGTTGGAGATTCAATGTTATTTATATGATGGGAAGGAATTTGAAGTAATGAATTCTTTAAGGAAAACAATGTGATAAGGAATATAAAGTCTAAAGAAAATAGAAAAGGAAATGAAATATTGTTGAATATGTGTCCTTTCAATTCCTATGCTAGGTACTATGCATACATTACCTTGTGTGATACTTAAAAATTGAGATGATAAATATTATTACAATTCCATTTTTAATGCAGAATATCTGAGGCTTAGATAAAGTAAGCAGCAATCCAGTTCAATAGTCCTTTCTCTGAAGACTAAATCCTTGATAGTACATTACATAAACTCATTTCCGCATATGTAAAGAACTCACTTTGCAAATCCTTAACAGAGCCCCTCCCTCTGACTCTCCCCTCCCCCTCCTTCTTTCTTCCTTCCTTCCCTTTTTGTTACAGTTTTCCAATTCTCCTTGACCTTCTGTACTCTTGTAAACTATTTTGTTGAAAGAAAAAGAGTTAGCAAAGCTAGTATTCCAGCTCTTCAATATTTCTATAGATTCCTTATAACCATTGCCTATTTTGAATGAATCAAAGATTAAACTGCTTAAACTAACCTACAAGTTGAGTTCCTGATGACTATGTATGTTTTTCCATGGACCATTGAATCCTTAATGTTTTTTCTCCTAGAATACAGTATATAAGAAACAGATTTGCTTCGTATTTCTGTGTTAGTAAAAGAATAATAAATTTTATCATTTCATGGAATACCAATGAACTGAAACTAAAAGCCTTCAAGATTGGATTTGATAGGTTAACAACTTTTAAATTGAAAATGATATTTGTAGTTTGTATATGTCACAATTATGCCCTATTCACCGTTTCCTCTCTTTATTTTCTAACCCATAGAAATCAAATGTATATTTAATAATCATCCATCTTGTCCATGTGTCAGTCTATTCATTTGTAAATACATTTACATCTGTTCTTTTTACTTATAACCATTCACTCAGAAATATAGACCAGGCTATTTGTATTGCATTGCTGTAACACCCTATTAAAATGGGCTAATTGAACTCTTGTAGGTCTAGATCCAATACTATTGTATTATTTTCAGAGAAACTATGATGTATAAATTCATATGAATCAAAGAATCTGTTTAGGATATAGGAGATGAATTTATGCAAGATTCCTTTTGTAAATATTCTTAGAAAAAATTATCTTGGTAACCACAGCTTTAGAAATACTTATAATTCTTTTTAAAAATCTGATTATATCTATTTATTTGCTTTTTTACTTTTGATCTTTTCAGACAGGTTCTTGCTGTGTAATTCAGGCTACCCTTGAATGCACTATGTAGCCCAGGTTAGCCTCAAACTCTGCGCAATTCTCCTGCCTCAGCTCTTGAAGTGCTGGAATTCCAGGCATATGCCACCATGCCTGGCTTCTAAAATCTGATTTTTATTTTATTTTATTTTATTTTTTGTGTGGTATTTTTAATATTTAACTCTTGTTGTTTTTTAACTGCTCTGCATGATGCATTTCAAAATTTCTTTTCGCTTTTCCTCACAGAAATTATGGAGTCAAAATTAAGACATAATAGAGAAGAGTGCATTTTATGATTTCTTTGAAACTTACTGAGCACAACTCATCATAAAAGTACAAATAATTTACATACTTTAATATTGTTCATTAAGTTTTATTTTCATTAATTTTTAACTGCTAGATAAGACCCATTAAGTTGATTCTATAGCTCCCCAACAAATTGCAACTTGAAGTTGAGGAAAATCTTGTTCTATAGTATACAATTTTAGATTACTAATATTTGGCTTCATATATAAAGAATTACTTGCTTCCCTGTTTATCCTGCTTACCTATTTCTTATTTATATTCTCTTATATCTTATGTATTCTCTGTAAGCTACTAAAAGTTTTTTGTCTTTTAGAATGATCACAAATAAAGAATTATTTGAATATACCAATCTGTTAAACTGAAATTATACAGTCATAAAATGGACTTTTTCTCCAGAGAGATT